GGGGGGGGGGACGACAGGGCACACCATCTCGAGGTTCTCAATCGTCCGGTTGAGGAGGGAAATCTCTGACTCCATCTTCTGCATCGTCTCCTCGGCGGTCAAGAGCTTCTCTCGCTGCGACAGGAGCTTCGCCGCGTCCTCCTCCCGCAACTCCCGCATGTGCCGACAGCACGCGGAGGTCTCGAGGACGTGCTGCAGGTGCCGGATCTGCTCCCTCCCCGCCGAGAGCTCCTTGCTCATCCCCTCCGAGGACTTGCGCAGAAAGACCAGCTCCTGCTCCATCCTCCTGCTCCTGTCCTGGCGGCTCAGAGTCGCTATCGACATGTCCTTCAAGGCAAAGTCGATGGTGTCGATGGCAAAGTCGAGGTCTTGTACCGCCTGCGACAGGGACTGGGAGAGTTGCGCATCGTCGAGTCCTGCAGGAGGCATGAGGGGAGGGAGGAGGAAAGACAGGAGGAGAGCAGCGAAGAGTGATGAGGATGCAGAGGAAGCAGAGGAAGGGGTGGGACGAGAAAGGTTGAGGTGACAGGGCAGAGAGGAAAAGAGGGAGGGGGAGAAAAGGGTCAGTCATCGCACCTCCTGCGGATCTCTTGACGGGAGAGGATGCTATGCTCGACCGTTTCTTCTCAATCTCCTCGCCTTCTCTGCACATCCGATGGATCCTTTCGAGCTCGACCACCATCTCCTGCACCTTCCCCATCACCTTCCGCTCCTCCGCTCGTCTCCTCGATGTCCCCACAGCCTCCTGGCATTGATGCGCCTCCACCGTCCTCCTCGTCAACCTCCACAACCCCTCCGTCAGATCGCACAGCCCGTCGATCATCGTTGCCTCTTCCTCCTCCTTCTGGTCGGACGACCGCGCTATTCTCGTCACCTCCTCTCCTATCGTCGCGGAGAGGTCCCGGGCGCATTCAAGATCGCCGAGGAGCGAGCGCAGAGCACAGCAGGCTCGCTCCGCCATCTCAGTTCTCCTCTCCGCCTCCTCCCTCCACCTCTTCAATCCCCCCTGAAGGCCTTGCACGTCCTCCCCCCACCTCCTCTCGTTCTCCAGGAACGTTTCTTCCGCAACCCGGAACTCTGCTACCTGCCCCACGAGCTCGTCGTTCCTCGCTCTCGATGACATCAACTCCATCCTCAACCTCTCGCCCTCCCCCCTCAGCTCAGTCATCTCCTTCTCCCTCCCACACAGCGCTTGTGTGAGCCTCTCCACCTCGATCAAGAGCTCCTTCCGTTCCTCCCCTTCCGCCCTCCTCTCCATCCTCTCCCTCTCCAGTGCCCCTTGCAAGGACTTCAGCTCCTGCTCGAAGGAAGCGACCTGATCGAGGAGCATCGAGAGGGAGGCATCATCCTGCTTGAAGCCGGCGATCTCAAGCCGAGTCTGCAGCTCGGTGTTCCTGCCCACCTGATTTCTCAGCTCTTGTTCGAGCTGTTCGATGCAGCTAGAAACCTCAAGTCAGTACACGCAAAGGTGACAATCTGCTCGGCTCTTATCTCTGTCCATTCCTTCTCTCCCTTGCTCCCTCCCTCCCTCCTCTCCATCCCCTTCCTCCTTGCCTCATTCTTCCCCTCTCTCCTCCCTACCCTGCACGTGATATTTGCTTCTTAGTCACAACTCTCATTGCCTTCCTGCCCTGACTTTCCCTCCTCCTCCTCCTCCTCCTCCTCCGGCCCAGCCCTCACCTTTCAAGCTTCGCCTTCTCCCAGCCGTTATCTGCAGCAAGAGACGCGTGCAGATCCTGCAGCTCTTCTTCCAGCTCCGTAATCCTCAACCTGGCCTGCAGCAACTCCCCAGCAGAGACAGTTCTGGAGCTCGGCTTCTCTTCCTTCTCCTCCTCGTCGTCCTCGTCCTCGTCCTCGTCCTCGTCCTCGTCCTCCTCGTTCCCCTCGTTCGAGTTTCTCTCTCTAACAATGTCCTGATACAGCGCCTCCTGCTCGAACAACTTTGCACGAAACAGCTCCCTCTCCCTGCTCAGCTTCTCCTTCAGCGCCTCCTCTCTCTCGAGTAGCTGCTGCAGCAGCACCCGCATCCTCGATCCCTCCTCCTCCCCTCCGACCATGCTCGACAGTTCCGTGAAGAACGTCTCACTCAGCGGGTCAATGAGGAGCAGGGCGGAATCAATGGACTGCCTCCGTTCCCCAAGTGTCGGGTCCCTAGCAGGGAGATCGTTGCTGACGATGTTTCTCCTCGCCAGAAGCTTCGAGCTTGAGGAGGAGGAGGCGAACTTGAGCGTCGAGATCGTTTCCCCAAAGTTCACCGGCTCGTTGCTCACGTTGGCGATCAGGAAGGTCTTGGAGTTCCCGCCTATACTGTTCCGGAGGAGGAAAGTCAGCTTGCTGTCCCTGTAGGGGATGTGCCTGCTGCCACTCCCCAGGCTGAGGATGACGTTGCCGAGGGCAGAGAGCGAGCGGTTGATGTTGTTTGCTTCCTTTAACCTTTTCCCCTCCGACCTCGACTGGTTCTGTCGCTCGCTGCCTGCTAGATCAACCTGCCAGCAGGCACTCAGAAACTACCCCTCCTGCTCCACCCCACCCTCTTCCTCCCACCTTCTTCCCCCTCTCCATGGCTCTGTCCTCTCTACTTCACCTCTTCCGCCCTCTTTCTCCCTCATCACGCTGTCCCCATTCCTCCAACACGCTCCTTCCCACTGGCCAGGGGGCCCAAGGAAACTTACAAGGTGGAGGGCAGAAGTCTTGACCACCATCTTAGCCTTATCCTCCTCCCTCACGTCAAGAAACAGGCTCAGTATGCAGTGAGAGCGGCTGCTGCACTCGTTGGCGCATGTCGCGCCCACCCGCCTCCTCGCGATGCCTCCCCGAAGCAGCTCGAGGGCCTCGGACAAGCTGCGGACGAGGGGGGAGCAAGCGCCCTCAGCGAACGTGACCCCGTCATCCATCCTCTCCCTGATCTGCAGGGGCCTCGACTCGGCGACTAGCAGGTCGATAACCTGCTCGTTGTAGATCTCCAGCAAGCAGCACCGCAAAGCCACGTGCTGGGCGCCGGAGAAGTTCTGCTGCATCCTACCGAGGATGAACTCCAGGCTCCTGGGGATCAGGCCAGCCCCCTCTCTCTCCTCTAGAGATCCGTACATGGTATGCGTCTTGCCGCTGCCCGTCTGACCGTAGGCAAAGATGGCGGCGTTGAATCCGTCCAGGAACGCCTCGCACGCCTCGCGCCCGACGGTCTCGAAGATTTCCTCCTGCGAGGAATCAGGTCCGGCGAGACTTTCGAAGTTGAAGTGGTAGAATCCTCCCTCTCCTCTCGAGCTGCTCAGATGCCTTGGGATCCGGAGCCGCAGCCTCCCGTCCTCCGACAGCGACAGCAGCGACCCCTGCAGACCCAACTGCTCCCGGAGACCGTTGGTAGACGAGCGGCGGCTCGCTGCCTTGTCCTCCTGCCTCGACTCCTGAGGTTTGATGCGCACGAGGACTTTGATCGCCTCTGCCTTTCCCTCCATGCTGGTGTCCATCCTCGACAAGGGGTCACCTTCCTATGCTGGGGTCTACTAGCGCCAGTTGCCGGCAAAGGTCGATAGGCGGGGCTTCAACAAATCATGTTGACCTGTGCAGGGCAAAAGTTTGAGAATGGCGCGAGCGACGGCATGGTATCGGCTTCACGTGTTAGATCGCAATCCCGGACTCCAACATCATCTCGCAAGTCTTCAACGACACTACTCCACCCTTGAGGACTCTAAGCCTCTCCTCTTCTACAAGTTCGTTCCTACTCTTGCTAAATCACCTCAATTCCAAAGTATCCCAACAGAATGAGAAAATATGTGATCTTGTCTGTCTTTTACAACGCCGCCGGGGCTCTCGGCACCTCAAAATTCTCCATGTTTTGTGCACCTCCTTGCAACGCTCTTTAGTAAACTCTGTTCACTATGTCTTACCTCATATTCCTGCCCTCTTCTGCTCTTCTGTACTTCTACTCTTTCTTGTCCTCTCTTCGATTTACCTCACTTCTTCTCTCCTCTTCCCTCTCCTCTCCTGTCTTCCCCTCCTCTCCCCTCCTCTCCCCTCCTCTCCTCCTTCCTCCTTTCCTCTCCCCTCCCCTCCTCCTCCCCTCCTCCTTCCCTCCTCCTTCCCTCCTCCTCCCCTCCTCCTCCCCTCCTCCTCCTCTTGTCTTCCCCTCTTCTCTCCTCCTCTCCTCTTCCCTCCTGCACGCTACTCATGTTGTGCATTGACATCGTCCACTATGCGGCATCAGTTCATCGGGTAAATGATACCCACCCTGACCAAAGACCCCTACCCCATGTCAGCCAGTGCCCTACCCTTCACCGACTTCACAAAGTGCAGGTGAATGGAGCACCGGTACTTTTACCTGCCAAAGTACCAGTAAAAGAAGGGAAATCAATCTAATTTGATAACCCCCACCCTCCCGTGATTAACCCCTACCCCCCACATTGTATTCATCACCCCATCGCTCGCAGACCCCTCTCTGCCAGCTCCGTTCAAAAAATCCTTAGATAGTACACCCTACCCCCCATAAATCACCCTGAATATATGAAACGCAGGGGTGGAGCATCCCCGAGCAAAACCCGAGGGTCATCCATCTCACGCGGTTACAACCCTGCTCTTTTGTCGGGGAGCAGCGGGAGAGAGGGAGAGAGGGAGAGAGGGAGAGAGGGAGAGAGAGAGAGAGGGAGGGAGGGAGGGAGCAAGGCGACGAGGCAAGAAAGGGCAGAGGGAGGAAGGAGCCGAGAACATATGCAGATGAGACGTGTGGGATCGAGCACAAAGGATACCGAATCCGTGAAACGACAAGATAGAAGGAGGAAGTGTATGTGCTTGGTGAACATGTAGGCCGGTTGCAAACAAGTTGAGAAGACTTGCAGTGGTAGGACAGGGCAGATAAAGCCGTGCGGCACGGTATTCATTTTGATGCGATTGATCAGCAGATATGACATTTCCAGCGGAAGAAAGATGACAATGAGGCGACTGCTGTTGGCAAAACTTGGTTTCATCAGAGGCAGTGCTCACGTGCTATGTTGTCTCCTCCTCTTTACCGGCCGCGTCACAGCAGGGCAGAGAGAAAACTTCACGGTTGTTGCATCCCTGACAAGACCTGAGGAGATATACCTCCCAGGACGAGTCGGAGCAAGGTGCGAGCAGGTCAGTCACTCCTTCCCTCTTGCCTGTCGGCAGCCCTGACGGCCACTTGCTGCAGGCGCTGGTCAACTTTAGCAGGCCTCACAAGGAGCGATGGAACGCATCACTCGAGGACTTCTTGTCGCTGCTCCCGGCAAAATTTTCATCTCTCCGCGTAGGCGAAGTTTTCCCTGTGCTCAACGAGACCGCGGTCCTTGACCGATGGCTCAGAAAGCTCCACCCAGGAGCGAAACATGCTCGATACCATCCCCTCGACCCGCAGGTCAGACCGGAGGCTGGAGGGTACGGCATTCTCAGAGCCATCTCCAACGAGAGGATGGAGTTTCTTTTCCGCATCCAAGCAGAGTTCCTCCTGCAGCCATCTCCCCCGCTCTTTGCAATGCCCAGCAGGTTGGATGGAACGCTTGTCATGGATAGCTCAGGACAGAAAATTTTCTTCTTCGATTTGTCTCTTCCGACTGTTCGCGCCTACAACCTACTGCTGGAGTGCGGGGAGCCCTTTGCTAAGCTGGGGAACAAGCTCGACGCTGCTCCGAGCTCCCCAGATGCCCGAAGACTGACAGTAAATCGTCTGATCCTCAGGAGAGATGCAATCGACAAGGAGGGAGACAGAGAGGACGGGAACTGCGAGCTCTTGCAGGACAGCAACGATCACGTTGCTGCTCGTTTGAACGGGGAGGAACTACCGGATGATGTGGAACCCCCATTGATGAGGATGGACGACAGAGATCAAGCTGAGATCGCTGCAAGCAACGACGGAACTCCCGGAGGGGTTGAAGGAGGAGCTGCCATGGCCATGGCAGATTTTCAGGTGTCGCCATTCGCATGAGGTGTTCCGTTGACCTTTGCCTACAGTTTTTCCCAGGAGTGAACTCAGAGGAGAGCCCAGCCGCGGACATGACTCTGGACACTGCAGTGCAGGTATGAACGGCCGGGCTGTGCGATTCTGCCGCCTGCCAGTGATCTGCTGGACAGGAGCTGAACTTCACGGAAATGAGGATCCAGTATCGATCGGAGCTATACGATCAGCAGGTGGCGATCGAATGGACCGCGTCGTTGCCTGTGGCAGACGCACAAGACAAACTTGCCGTCTCTCTGTACCCCTTCCTCGGTGCTGGCTACGACCAGGACTACATGCAAGCCTTCGAGAGGGCAGGAAGCAGCAGGCGGCCGCTCTTGGCCGTCGTGCTGTGGGGGGCACTGGATGATTCGTCGTGCTGAGGGACTGGAAGGGTCCTGCGGAGTCTGGTGGGTGTTCGGGCCCCTGCGATCCCATCCTGACGTGCGTGCAGCTTTCTGAGACACCTGTCATACTCCTGCTGAGGGAGAGGTTTGTCAATACCTGGGTCCTCAAGAAAGATCTAGAGGATGACCTGAGCACGAACTCGGAGGGTTCCACCATGCTACCCCGCAGGATGCTAGCAAGGCGCCTCCTCGCCGCATCGGACCAGCTTGCCCAGGTTTTCCTCAGGGGGGCAGGGCGAGTCTCACCTGCTGTTCCAGGTTGTCGTTCTCACGGCTGATGAATACGGAGATTTCAGTTCGGAGCGGGCGGCGCTGACCTTGTACACAGAGACAGGCGCTAACGCCGCTATGGACAGAACCGTGAGCGGTTTCATGCAGTTTTTGCAGGACTGCCTGGACCAGCATCACCAACATAACCAGGCGGACATTTGATCTGCGGCAAGCTTCACACATGACGAGGCATCTTGAAACCGGGAGGAGAGGTGTCTCCGATACAAGCTTGCAAATAAACATGAAAACAAGGCTTTCAGTGCTGCTTTTGAGTGCAAGAAAAAAAAAAGAGTTCATTCGTACTTTACACGTCATCGCACAAATCTATGCCAAACAGAAGATACTTCTACTTCACATCAACAATAGACTTGAGAGCGACGAAGCAGCCTGCCATGTTTGCGCTGTCGAAGGCTGATACATTTTTGTGCAATACAGATGTACATGAGTTTGGTGCGCCAACAAAAAGGACATGCAGCAAAGAAATTCAAAGAAGAAGAGGTGCCGTGGTCGGAGCTGTACAATCCTGTGAACGTCCGAACATACTGATAAATTCACCGATGAAGGGCCAGGTCGTTTCCTTACTCCATGTCCACCGGTCCATCTTTCACATCATCGCTCTCCATCCGCAGCAATTTGCGCTTGTTACATGCTCTGTCGGGAGGTGGGACATATTTCGCCTCAGTGAGCAAACGGCTCGTTGCTGCTGTCACATTGCTTTCCAGTTTGCTCCAGTTTGCAAACTCTCCAGCAGGCAGAGCAAACGCACCCTGCCCTTGAGAAGCTGCTAGCCTGCTATCAACACTCACGGGGTCGGCATCACCCGTATCAGAGTTTTCTTCCTGCACCACCTCAATCTTACATTCCCCTGACAAGCTCATGCTCTTCTTCATCGCGCTCCGCTGGTATGAATCGAGCCATTGGGAGTCTTCCATCATGACGTTCATCATCCAATCAGGCATGAAACAATCTTCATGTGAATTGCCTCGGCAAGTCTCCAGCTTCATGAAGCCGCTCATCGAGTCGTTCTGGTCTTCCATGTCGCCTCTACCGCCACTTGAGCTGTTGCGAGAATGAGCGATTTGAATGATCAAGATCAATGAGATGGCAAGAGAACAACAACGTAACCCAGAGCAGTCAGTCACTGAACAGTAAGCAAACAGGTGGATGTAAAGTACTCTTCTCCTCTGCCCGTCTGTCACAAGTTTGCCCTACAGCCTCACGCTCCGCTCCTCCTTCTCCCCGAGTATACCCTGCATGCGACGGTGCGCACGGACTGGAAACATGACCGATGACCAGGAAGGATATGAAAACACTTCTTATATGACTCCATAACACTTGGTTTGGGATGAGAAATAACACTATTTGAAATCTTAATCTCAAGATCTTCACTTTCTATAAAGTACCCCTTCATAACCCACTCACCACCCCAGGTCGGAGTTGCAACAGAGTCAAACTTTCTAAACTTTGAGCATCGCAATCTTTGAAATTTTGATGTCCGGGATCAACCAAAGAACAACGCTTCGGGCTCAGTACCGATTAGAACGTAAAAGTCAGTGGTCTCTGATGCCATTTGGATCTGAAACAACCCGTTTTCCCATTTTCAAAACCGTAGAGTTGCCCGACATAACGGACATGACTGGCCCCGCCGCCTCCGAGCACCGGGCGAACCAATTGAACCCGGAGCCTCAAGGCCGGGCCGGGCCGCCGAACCGGGCCGCCGAACCGGGGCGGCCCGGTGATGGCCCGGTGGTCCAACTGGTGTGAGAGGAGAGGCATCGGGACCACCCCCGGTTCAAGATCGACACATCCGGCCAGGGGAAGCACCGGTCCCTTTCCCAAGACAAGTTGGTGCACGTGCGAGACCCACCCCAAAGCATTGCTTTATGTGGGTACCACCTCCTTGCACCCTCTCGTAAACCTACCACCCCTTCTCATCGGTCGGTCTATAACACAGTGAGCTCAAGTACCCCTGCATCACCATTGAGAACCCCCAGATTGACTGGACTAAGACCGTTCCACAAACAAATAGATGAAGAGGCTTTACACCAGTACCCACCCCGTTTGTGAGTACCCCACTGTATACTCACCTTTGCCATACCCCTACCCCTACCCCAAACGGCGATACCTAAAGACTTGGTATCGTTGTCGAAGCGAAAAGCACGCAGAGAGTACTACCCCTGCTGGGTAGTTGAGTACCCGACCAATCACTTTATACATCCTCTACACCTTCTCTTCACATCCCTACCGGTTGTTTGAACGAAAGGCCAAAGACAGGAGACCCGGTACTGACCTTTGACTACCCACCCCCTTTCGTATCCAAAACACCACTACCAATGCTCCCCCACCCTACCCTCCACAGCCACAAAACTTCCACCACCCCACCCGTGCCTTTATACTTGGGAGTCCGGGAGCTTCGCCATCCCCTGCCGCCATGGACACTCTCGCAGCACATGCAGCTTCAGCAACCGCTGATGATCATCTTACTGGCACCCTCGCTGCCAAGGTGATGGTCAACAGCAGTCTTTCATATCCATCTGTCAATTCTTTCTCTGGCGAGCAAATTTCACTTTTGCTGTCTGTTTGCGCGTCTATTTCGTTTGGACACAACTATGTGTTTTGAGACCCGAGCATTTATCATCTCTTACGATATGTACACTTGATTTTTGTCTGGTTATCACACACACGATGATCTGTTCAACCTGTCCTGATCGAACTTGAAACAATCTCGGGGAGAAGAGGTTGAGTAATTTGTTTCTCCAGGTCGGGCACGCTCAGATGTTGAAGGGTGGAGTCATCATGGATGTGATGAATCCTGAGCAAGCAAGAATAGCACAGGAAGCCGGTGCTTGTGCAGGTACATCATTTACTTCCATCACCTCTCAGATGCATCTGACTAGAACGCAGTTATGGCGCTCGAGCGCATTCCTGCTGACATCCGCCAGCAGGGTGGAGTTGCACGCATGAGTGATCCCAAGATGATCAAGGAGATCAAGGCTGCTGTCACCATCCCTGTCATGGCCAAGTGCCGCATTGGCCACACTGTCGAAGCCCAGATCTTGGAGGCTATCGACATCGACTACATCGATGAGTCGGAGGTTTTGACTCCTGCCGACGATGTGCACCACGTCAACAAGAACAAGTTCAAGGTTCCTTTTGTGAACGGATGCCGCAACCTTGGCGAAGCCCTTCGTCGTATCGCTGAGGGTGCTGCCATGATCCGTACCAAGGGTGAGGCTGGTACCGGCAATGTGGTCGAGGCTGTTCGCCACGCCAAGGCCGTGCAGAGTGAGATCCGCCGCCTTCAGTCAATGGACGAGGATGAGTTGTACGTGTATGCTAAGGATATTCAGGCTCCTCTGTCCCTTGTCAAGAAGACCAAGGAGCTTGGCAGGCTGCCTGTTGTGAACTTCGCTGCCGGCGGTGTTGCGACACCGGCTGATGCTGCTTTGATGATGCAGCTGGGCATGGACGGCGTGTTCGTCGGAAGTGGAATCTTCAAGTCTGGGAACCCCAAGAAGCGTGCAGAGGCCATTGTGAAGGCTGTCACTCACTACAACGATCCCAAGATGCTTGCTGAGATCAGTGAGGACCTCGGAGAGGCGATGGTTGGCATCAACTCAGGAGAAGGTTACATCATGTTCTGCAACCGCGACTCGTAATTGAGGAAACGTCTTTGTAACATAAGCTGGGGATCTCGTAAAAAGTATTCAACACCCTCACGTTGAACCATTGGGCTGCCTGGTAGGACCACGGCTGCCTTTCCGTGGTGTGCTTGCGGTCTGCTGGCCGCGCCTCGCATGACTCAGTTCGCTCACGGCGGATCATCTGATCGCGTAACCAGCTCCCGGCCACTGCTGATGGAGCGGTTCAAGGCTTTGATGGCTGTAATTCAATGTTAAAACTCCGTTTAACAGTACTTCCAAGGTCGTCGATGCGGCAGGGTCGACTGACGAGTCTAATATTGTCGCTCGGACAATTGAATGATTGCCACGGATGATCACTGATCCGACGGTATCATATAGTATCATGGGCAGACAGGCGCTGGCTGGCCCGGCGCTCCGGGTGGCCCATGGCATTTACCAATGGCATCCGGTTCATGGCATGACCATACTGAGTAGCCTGTACGCCGTCCCAGTCCGATCGTCCCGGCTGTCACAGTGTCCCGGAGCCTCGGAGCCTCGCCGTCCGACGAGCCTTGGCGGCTCATGACTCTGTGATTAGTAAGCCGGGCCCCCGGGATCGGGACCGCGCCGGGCTCATCGCGGCGGCGGCCGGTGAGAGATGAGTCCGACCGGCCGTGGGTATGATGAAGTGTCCGAGGCGTTTGCTTTCTTTTTTGTGAGAGTCGGAGGCTGACCGCCCCGGCTGCCTTACCTTCATTTTTTATCGTCTTTTTGTGCAGCGGTTGCCAAAGGGGGTGGGCACGTGAGGCAGCTCCTGCAGGGTCCCGGGGGGTAGGGTCGCAATACAAATTGGGGAGGTCAGGGTAGACGAATGCACGTGAACAAGGGGCAGTGTAGGAGCCAGTCCAAGATTGATCGAGCAGACAATTGAAGAAAGGATGCAAAGAGGTATGTTCTATTTACCTCGCTCATAGAGGATTTTGAGGCAAACGTAGGTAGGGTCCCTGCGCGTCCCCTGCAAACCTCTCAGGGGTAGGGTCGCATCGCAAAGTGGGTAGGGTGAATGATGTGGCTGACTCAAAGCAGGGGTGCTTGCTACTTTGTTTCTGAGGTACTCACTATGGTGGGTGGTAATATTGAGTAAAAGATAAGGCCCTTCCTAGAGCTTTCTAGAACTGGTGCATGTTAGGGGTATGGAATTGAACAGGGTGGTCCACTGTGATCAAGGGTAGGGTTAAATTTGTGTTCCAAAGAGGGGTAGAAAATGCACTAATAGGCAGAATGTTTTCACCGGGGGTAGTGCGTTGTGTCCCAACAATTTAAAATGTTTAGTTACTTTTTATTGTATTATAAATTTATACCGAGTAAGTTTCATCAATGCTTTATTTGTACCTCAAAATTTCTCACAGCCTATTTTAGAGGAGGTGAGAGGGGTGGGTTCTTTGGAGCCCTCACTTTTCCGGGTGTTTTCAATGAAGGGGTGGGGTGAGTGTGGGGATTGCAGCAGACGGTAAACACGGGACGAAACTTTCCGGGGGTTGATACAGGGAGGGGGTGGGGTGTAGGCTAGGGATCACCGGGTACTTTACATAGGAGATGAAGGGTCGTGTGAAAACAAGGGGGTGGGGGGTGGGGGTGGGGGTGCTGGGGGTTTTTGGTTTGTGGCAGGACTGATGATGTTGTTATGACGACAGTGCACAAACGAAAATGCGCGAGAGAGAAGGGTCAGAGGGAGAGAACACGCTGCATACAGGGTTCAAATGAACAAATGAGGTTGTGAATGAGATGAAAGGATGAAGAATGAGGCGAGGCGAGGATGTGGAAGACGTGGAGAGGTCGGTGGAAGATGAGGGAAGTAAACGGGAAGGGATCCGGTTCGGCAAGCAGTGCGGATGTGAATCTTGAAGTTTTGAAGCTCTCGCCCACAATGATTGAATGTTTGAATTGTCCTCGCTGCCTCAAACTCGGAAGTTGGGCACAAATTCTTTGAATCTCCGTCTCACAGAACGGTCGCAATCCAACGAACCTTGCGGTTCCTCGATTCGGATTGGCACAGATCTCCTCCAGAGCATCAGCATACAAGGCAATGAGTGCAGGTTCAGTTGCAAGTGCAGCAACTGCTAGGCTGTCCGGAGAGAGCATGGACGCAATGAAACGAAAGAATGATGGTGAGCCTTGCGTTGTTTTCTTATGGCTTGCTGACAACCAGCACGAAGGAATCTGGCTGAAGCCTGTAAGTGAAGAAGATCTCTTGACTTGGCAAGGATTGGTCCTGGGTCCAGCTCTGTCGCCTTATGCATTTGGATTCTTTTCCTTTTCGATCAAGGTATTTGAGCAAAGGCGGCATGTGGACAACTTTGGTTGACTCGAGTGCAGTTTCCTGCGGAATACCCAAGCTGCGCTCCTGTGGTTCATTTTTTGACGACCAACGGTGGCAAGACAAGGTGATCAACAGTTTAAGTGAAGCAAATCTTGCGACTTGATGCTCGCCATGCAGGTTCAATCCAAACTTGTATGCAGATGGCAAAGTCTGCCTGAGCATTCTAGGGACGTGGAGGGGGGAAAGTGGTGAGTTGTGGAGCAGTGTGCAAAACTGTCACTCCGTCATGGTTTCAATACAATCTCTGTTGGACGACGAGCCATATCACAATGAGCCTGGCTTTGAGAAGCAACGAAGTGTAAGTTTTGATTCATTTGTTACCTCGTTGGAAGGATCGGCTAAGGTGAGTGTTGCCCTCACGCACGAACCCCCCTTGAAGTTTGTCTTGACCAGGCTTCTCGGGACTACAATCTCAAAATCACACATGAGACCGTCAGGGTTGCCGTCTGTGACGTGTTGGAGGAGATCCTGAATCGATCGGAAGTTGAAGAAGCCGCCAACGGCTTTTGTGATATAATCAAGTGGCACTTTTTGTTGTACTGCAGTCGATATTTGGAGATCGTTGATCAGCATGCTGAAGTCGAGGTGATATGCGCATCACTTGACATGGAGCGTGTCCACCTCACGAAGAACTTAGGGTGAGTTCGAGATCATGGAGTTCGAGTATCAACGCAACTGGATGAGCGGATCATTCAACTTCAAGGTGCTTGCTTGTGAATTTTTCCAGCTCCGTGTGCTGACATCAGTACAGGAGCTGAGATCACGGATCTTGCTCATCAAGGAAAGCCTGGTATGCTCTATCATTTGTACAGGGTATGCTTCATTTAAACTCCTGATCCAGGTCAAGGAACTTGTTCAGTGGCAGAGGGAAGGGGTCGAGAGTTCCAAGCATCAATCGTTTGCATGCCAGCACATCTTGAGCGCATTTGAGGTGCTGGACACTAAACTTATTGCTTGTATATCTTTGAAATATTGTACTGATCACATCTACATCTTTCAGAAATGGTCAAAACTGAGCAATGCGGGGATCAGCGCGGCTCCCAGGGAGGCGAACAAGTTCGTATGGGACGTGACCATCATGGGAGACTTGGACGGGGGATGGTGATAGCTTCTGATTCCATGCATGCATGTAAGACCAAGTGCTAGGTATGAGAATGGCATGTACCAACTGGAGATCACGTTTCCTCCTAATTTCCCGGATTGCATGCCCCGACCGAGGTTTCAGACGCAAATGTTTCATCCCCAGGTACATATCCAGCTCAAACGGTGCATGCCCCAATATGACGCCCTTGTTTCAGATCGACGAAGATGGCTTTCCCTTTCTGTCTGTCAGCATGACAGATTCCAAGGTTTCTGTTGCTATTTTCAATCGCCGCTCACAAAGTCTTAGAACGTTCAAGCTATCATATCCGACGTTCATTCCTTATTGAAGAATCCCCCAAGCCCCGACCCTCGTACCTGGGTGAACAAGAAAGCTGCGGATATGTATTTCGGCGGGGATCAAGAGGAATTCAAACGAACAGTCAGGCGCTATGCTCAGAGAAGCATGGAGCAGAGTAAGAAGATTCGCGATGGATGAACGTTTCTTGACATGTACAACAGGCGATTCATGACGAATGTTTTCAATTGCTTGCACTTCTTGCAAGATCATACACTTTCACATTCTCTTTTACTGATTCACCATACACTTGTTTCATATTCTTTTGTCGCATTGTCCATGTATTCATAAATAATGCGAATGGTCTGATATAATGATTCTGGTTGTTCATTACATTGTCAACATTCTCCACGCTTTTGCATTCAGGATGTCGAGCATTTGTACACTATAACTGTTCAAAAGATTGTTCATGCCGCATGGCTCTCAATCTCGTTAATAGGCGAGAAGTCAAATCTTGTCACACAGATCAAGTCTGGTTTGATTCCAGAAAAGCCGATCGGATCAATTCAATGATCTTTTTAGACGGAGGAGGAGGAACAAGGTAAAGAGGGCACTTGGGAGGCTTGTCTTGCATGTCTAGCACGGATTGGTGGATTTTATCCCTGCGAACTGTCAGATGTTCGTTTCTGAGCATTGACTTTTGCGTCTCGATCATGAAGCGATACTGGAAAAGCAGAAATGTCAGGAAAACAAACCGGAAAGAAGAAAGTCTCCTCACCTCTTCTCGCGTCAACCACAAGTTGAAAGCGTCTCTCCATCTATCCTTGTCCACCAGCAGCTGCCGTCGCAAGCTCGTGGCGAACGCCCTCAGTTTCTTGAGCTTGATGTCCGGGGAGATGTAGAGAGTCTTCGACGTTCCTCCTGTCGAGCTCGAAGCGTGAGAAGCTTTCGGTGCGAACTTCTTGAGAGCCTCGTCCACGTGCTTGTCCCACAGGTCAAACAGCTTCGCGTCATGCAGGGCAGCAAAGTTGCGATATTGACGGAAAGCTCTCTGAATCTTGACCACCTTTCTCCTGTACTGCCTGAACACAAAGCGAGCCGTCTTCATGGTGCGCTGAACGTCAAGGAGGAAGGAGTGGATGACAGGGATGGATTCTTTCTTCCTCTTCAGCCTCCGCTCCAACTTGAACTTGCTGTAAAACTTTGCAATCGAGGTAGCCGCAATGTCGTACTTGACCGTCAGGCGCTTTCCGAGGTGTTTGCGATACCTGCGCTGAATGCTGATGGCAGCAGCGCTCCACAGCATCAGGTCACTTCTGACCCGCCTTACAAGGTCGACGAGCCTCTTCCACGTCGACGCTCTTGACACGAGCGCGACGTTCAGGAGCCACATGGCCGACAGCCTCGTCAGCTTCGCATGCGCGATGGCTGCCCTGACGCTGTGCAGCCTCTTCTCGTCGTTAATCTCCTTGCGATTGATGGCGATGTTGGTCCGCTCTATCCTCTTGAGATCCTTCTCAGAATTCTCCTGCTTGGTCGCCGTCATGGCCTCCTTCAGCCTCTCCGTCTTCTCCATCTTCTCCTCCCTCCTCCTCACATCCAGCCAAGGATCTTTCACCAGCTGGCGGTTGAGCATGATCTTCTCAGAGAACTCCGGGTGTCCGTTGACTTGCAACTTGTGTTCTCTGATCTTCATCTTCAACGTGCGATGCAGCCGGGGATCTTCCTTGATCTCGTCGATCTTCTTCTGCAAGTTCTTCAGCTTGCTCAGCCCCATCACTCTGTGCGGATTCTCCTCCTCCTCCGTCGCCTTCCTGACCCTCCGCACTGAGGAGACCCGCTGCCTGCTCTCCAGCAAGCGCGCTCTCGTCTTCAACCTGAGCAAGGAAGGAAGCACGTCTTCCGGTTTAGGACCGTACGCCCATGACGTCTCGTCCTCGTAGCATGGGGTCACCTTGCCCTTCTCAATCCTCTCAACAAAAATCTGCATAGCAGCAGACGTGTAGTCTGAGTGCACCTGCATGTGCCTGTGCCTTGGATCGTCCACCGCATCGTCGGCATCGTCGGCATCGTCATCTTGCATGTAATGGAGAGCACTGCTGGAGATCCGCGCCTTGATGTCTGTTATGCTGTCCTCGGGCAGCGAGAGCGACAGCTCCCTCATGGGCATTTCGAGGACATGGCTCTTCCCTGTGGCAAACACGACAAAGCCGTCGGTCAACTCCTCCTCTGGCTCTACCGCATGCCCGAAGAAGGTGCCGGGGGAGACGGAAGCAAGAGGAGCATCGTGGAAGTTCTTCTTGGTCACCTTGAACTCTCCGTCCAGCAAGAAAACAACAGAGTCTGACGGCAGCGAATGGTTGTAGACTTGATCTTGACACTCGTGACTGCGTCGCGTGCAGGTCCTGGCGAGCTTGTCGAAGAGGAAGTACGACAGGTGCTTGAAGCAGTTCTTGAAAGTCTCGTGCTCCCTGATAGCGCTGATGTGATCCTCCGCCTCGATTCTTCTCGCCATCTCCCTCGCCTTGCTAGGAAACCAGACAAGAGCTGATCTCTTTACAGCCACCATCTTGAACTCCTTGAGGTAAGCCTCTTCTCCCAGCACCTTGGGATCCAGAACGTCTCCCTCCTCCAGCATGTCTGGCACCCAGCTTCTCTGCCTCTTGCTAACCTCCTCCTCTCTGTCCCTCACGGATCGCAGAAGCCCTTTCCGCACAACGAGGATCGTTGAAGATGACTCTCTGCCAAACTCAAGTTCTTCTCCTGCCTCAGCGATGGTTTCTGACGCTCGCCGCGCCAGGAAGAGCGACGCCTCGAGCGTGCTGGGACAGAGTTCGTTGGACTCCAACCAGAAGAAATGTCTGATCCAGCTCACCTCTTTCTCCGAGTGCTTGTAGGTGCTACTTGCAGGCGGTTGTTTGCCTTTCACGTTGATTGATACAAGGCTTGACAGACTTGGTATCTTCCGCAGACATTTCTGATCAATGACAAACAGCCTTACTGACCCTTTACATATCGAAGTGTACGGCATGGAACTGAACAGGAAAAATTCTATTTGCCCAAAACAATCACCTTGCTTCACTTCTGCGATTTCTTTCCCAAAAGACTTCAAAAAGAAATCATACCCCCTTAATGAACTCATGAAATCATGCTGTACACGAGAATTCCTTTCAAACAACATCACACTCCCTTCGTCGACTAAATGTATCGCATGCGCGTCTTCGCCCCCGCATGTAATCACATCTTTATCTGCAAAGTGACGCTCTGTGACAAATGGCAGGATGCTCAACATCATCTTCTCCGACAGACCTCGAAACAAAGGCACTTGAGCAAGACAATCAAGAGTCGACTGCTGGTCCTTGAAACTCATCTCCGACGGCTCAGAGTCGCCGGAGTCAAAATGGACCCAATCGCTCTCATCCCAAACTGCCAAAACTGCCGGAGTGTTGCATGAGACGTGCACCTGGTCGGGAAAGAAACGCCCGAGAGGAAGAGCCTGCTGGAAGAAGTCTTCCTGCAAGATCACCTGACCCTCGAGAAGCAGGCTGTACTTGTCGACTTGCACCTCGGGTCCTGATAACGAGCGCAACACAGCGCGTTGAGACAGCAACCACAAGCTCTCAGCAGGGACATCACCAAGTGCCTGGGCCAGGAGGTTGAAAATGAGCAGCATCAACGCGGGGTTCGTTTGTTTCTTGCTCCTGCAAAGTCTCTCCAACCGCTCGCTGCAGCATACCCCTGCTATCCGCAGCAGCGCTTCACGGTCTATCTGCATCAAATGCGTAGCGACCAAGGTCCGGTAGATGTGCCTTGAACCTACCATGCCGAACATGCTGGAGGGTCCCAACAAGTTCAAACATCGACCCTCCACCGGAACATCGCACTTCAAACAAACTTGCTCGCTCCTTTCGATGCACGCGATCATCCCCGAGCAAATGATCGAAACCTTGTCCGAGGCGTGCAGGACCTGCTCCCCAGCTTCCACTGTGTGCAAAGAAGCACACTCGGCAATCAGCTCAAGAAACTCATCGTCGGATTGCTTGAAAAGATGGCAAGCAAAGTTCTTGAAGAACACCATCAACGTTGATGTCTGCCTACCCTCTGTGGGGCCTCGAAGAATGCTTCCATGGAGGCTGAAGGAGTAGCCAGCTGCGCTGCCGTGCCATTGCTCGATGATCATCTCAAGGGACCTCCGGTCTATAGTCAGAGTCAGTCCTGTCTGCGTCCGACATATCATGGTGGAATGCTTTTTGTGGCTGGCCAGCAGGTCGACTTCGCCCAACCACTCCCCAGGCCCTCTGATTCCGATCTGATTCCCAAAGCTGACGTTGGGGCCGAAGGACCTTGACTTCAAAGTGTCGTACAAGGCCAGGTCCGGCTTCTTGTTCTGATGGTGGAGAGTGAAAACTCCTGAGAGGATGAGATGCCCGCAGTTCTTGTCCGCTGGTTCGTTCTGAACTCCTACCACGTCCGATTCACTCCACCGCTGCAGTCGCCCATGCATACAAAGGAACTGAAGAAACTTTCGGCTCATCAGCGAGCTACTTGGAAAATTCTGCAGGATCTCTTCGGTTACAAGGTCAATGTCTGTCAGACCTCTGTCCGGCATTTGCTCCTGCATCACCTCCAACAAGTGCTCCGACGGGTTGTAGCTTGATGGGCGCTTTTCCTCGAAATGGCGAATCTTAACAGAGATGCAGGTCTTGAATCCTTTCTGCGACCTCGAGTCGTCCTTCATCTTGAACTCAAACTGTCCTTCAAGTGAAGTGATGCGAAAGAATTCTGTGAGGGTGAAATAAATCTCCTCGGACTTGTCGTCAATGTCTGGGAAAGCTCTTCTTCCGCTCTCTTCGTCGACTCTCAGCTGAAACATCCCGATCTCACTCAAGAAATCCTTTTCTTTGAGCATCAGGGAGAATTTCAAACTCGTCTCTGCGTTCCCGGGCAGAATGTCAAGCTGTAAAGTTTGGTGCCAGGCAGGATTCCTCGTACAGTCCACCTCTCTTGTTGACACCTTGCGACTCCCACAGGATACTGCGACGAAGACATTCCAGTTGCGCTTTTCTTTGTATGAGCTGGGGCAGAACACGTTGCTACCATCCTGAATCTGGATCTCGACCCTGGAGTCTTCTTGGAGATCTTTGACGAGCGCGTCTTCAAATCCATGAGCCAAGGGTCTGTCGTGGTCAGGCGAAACTGACGCGGTCAACTCAGATACCCTGGGGTCTCGGAACTCGCTCGGAGTGCCAATGTAGTCACGAGATCCGCTCAGTTGCTGGAGGAAACTTCCTGGAGGAGCAGAAGAGGACCGGAAGTGATACAAGCGCTCGCTCGATGCGCTGGGTTGCGGGGCGACTGGTGTTCTGGACCTGGTCGACGACCCTACAGCGTTGCTCTTCGATTTCCTCATGATAGGTCAGATGAGCTGTCTCTATAGACCTGCACTCCTCGAAGCCTCGGCTGAGTTGCTTGCTGGCTGCCTACCGCCAGCCGTCGCATTTGGCAGGACCGGATCTTGTTCGCCCTCATTGTCTGGCCATCCCGACCCGGTAGCCCGTCACCCTACCCAATCAAGATCCTGTGAACGCCGGTCAGAAGGAGGGGTCGGGGGTATCGATCAGGGGCACGTCAGTTAATGGGGAACGGTAGTGTAGCAGAAGGGACTCATCATTCCAAAGGGGCTAAATTTCGCAATATGGCTTGAAAAATCTTTGGATAATTCGAATTTATGATGAATTGATCCATCGAATTTTTCTTTTGGCATTTCAGATTTTCAGCACCGAACCTACTTGAACTCTCCTCTGCCATTTCAGACTTTCTTATCACAAAATTTCAACTTAAAACGATTTCGTTCGTACTATATTATTTTTACGTGGACCACTTCTTTCAAAGTTTGTATACAATCACTTTTACTACAGCGCCCTTCATACAAAAGCCCCGTGCGGTACAGATCATAATTGTAATACGGTACAGATAATAATTATACCGGAATCGTCCTTGGTACATTTTTTCTACATTCCGATCGACTTCTGTCAAGATATTCCTAGTAATAGTAATTGTTTTGGTACAAATATTTGGAATATAATATTCATTGCTGGTACTGTCCTTCTCCCGTACAAGGAGCCGCGGGCTTAGAAAAGTGCCTCTACGATTGGAAAGTCGGTGGGTGGGGTAGTTCATGCAAAGTACAATAGTAGGTACTTTGACAGATTAAAGAAGGGGTGCTATGAATTTGTAAACGCAATGCACGGGTGGGGTGGTACAGAAGGTCCGGCCAGGTTGGCGCCTTTTTTTGTTGAGGCGGCGATCATGGCGGTGAGGTGGGAGATGTGTGATAGTCGAAGGCAAGCGCTGAGCTGAGGAGAACGATTTTCTTGCATGATAACACGTGAAGACAACGTGTCAAGCTGAATCTCCGCCCAAGATCGTCCCAATCGAGATTCGTTGAAGTGTCAGGCGATTGGTGTGTCGCCAACTTTGTTTTGGAATTCGGCTGGTAGCTCGGCGTCAGTCTGACACTTGTTGTCACAAAGAGCAGCTCTGTAAGCAATCATTCTTCAAACCATGGAAGAGACTTTCAATCCTCAGGCTGGTGGCTGGTCTGAGGCTACGTTGCTATCTGCATGGGAAGAGCTGCGCCGCATTGTATCAGAACACTGCCACCCTCCACAGCAGAGGGACAAGGCGCTCAAGCTCATAGAAACCGTGATGACAGAAGAGAGAAGGAGGAATGCATCCGTAGTTGACAGAGGCATCCAGAAGGCTTTTGGAGGGGTGAATGGCTCAAATCCTTTTGGACTCGACTCTGTCTTGTCCAAGGACAACAGGGAGTGGGGTGGGAAAAATGTTCTTGGGGTGTGGGGGAATGCTTCATCGCAAAACCAGATCTTAGCTTCCTCGCTTCTAAATAAGTGGGGTGGGTCTGTCAATGAGAATGAATGGCAGTTCGGGCTGGGTAATATCGCATTGGATGGGGATGACGCAGCTGACATGAAAAGGCTGAACATCGACAGTGGCCCGTCCGAATTTGTGCGATGGAACTCCGGATCTGGTGGAGGTCTGGATCTGGGTGAGCGACCCATCAATGCTGAATTTGGACCATCGTTTCTGAATGCTGCGACTGGAAATCAGATAGATTTTCCCTTCCCGCAGGTACAACAGCCAGTAATCCCCTCTTCAATCAACGTTCCTGAACAGCAACAAACTCCCTCGATCATAATGCAAGGGGGCGGTGAGACTCAGAAGAATGGACAGAGTGGAATACAATTCATGTTCAATCAGCAAATGAATCCAGTACAGCTGCACATGCAACAACAACTTCAATCCAATGCAACTTCTTCTGGATCAAGCAATGTCGGAGGAATCTCTCTTGCAAACATTCAGCAAGAAGAAGAACAGCAGAAAGTACCAAATTCTCAAGGAAAATTTCCGACAAATTCTGTGGGCCCTACTGTTACTGTACGGAATCCGGTAATCAAATTGCATAAAATCTTCTGTTTTCGATTCTTTTACGATCGACTGTTTACTAAACACCATGTCACAGAACAACTCTGCTGGGGAAAATGGTACCAAGAGGAGCATGGAAGTTCCAAAGCGAAGCGAAGATGCTCGTGTGGACCCGAAAAGAACAACAGAAACCACCAAAACAACCACCAAAACTGAAGGGAAACGAACTGAACCAAAGGTTTCAATTTGATGTCCTTGGTATGCAAGGGAGGTCACATATGCAATTTCAGGGGAAAGGGGCCACCACAAAGGTCAAACTTCGGGGCTTGCCTTATGGAGCAACGACTGCAGATGTTCTGAATTTCTTCAAGGGACTTGGGGTCCTTGAAGAAAGCATCACGTTTGGCATCAACTCTGTAAGGCATTATAGTGCAAAAAATTCACTTCTGACGCAAAATTTGCAGGAGGGAAGACCAAGTGGAGAAGCTTGGGTATCCTTCAACAGGATTGAAGATGCAAGAAAGGCGGTACGTGAGAAGGACAGGCACCACATGGGCGATCGATACGTGGAGCTCTTCCTCCTGAATGAATGTGGCGGAGTCGCCAGTCGTGCTCTCAAGTGAAGGACGGCAGAAGATCGTGGGGCAATGGTACTTCGAAGACCATGTGATTTTCTTGTCGTTCGTTCTATTCTATTGGGGGGGGGGGGGGGGGGGGGGTCCCCCGCGCGCTCCAAAAAGGTTGCCGAGGATGTGGGAGATGAACAAGTGTGTGGGAAGGTTGAAAACTTATCTAAGGTTGGTGAAAATTGTTTGGTCAAGAATACTCTCACAGTGTAAGTCATCGTGCATGGAAGTCGTGGATAAAAGAACAGCGAGTGAAGTTGAATCATTTCAAAATCCAGTGAAATTCATTGGAGCTTCTTCAAGACTGGGAAAATTTCTCGCTATGGTTGGTTGTGCTCAGACTTTCAAGAATATCTTGATGTCCATGTGTTCGTGGAATGAAATGTTATAAGCAATACTTCTCATGAGTTGAGGAGGTGGTGGATTGATAAGGGGAAGGCTGCGTGGGAGGAGGGAGGAAGAGAGCGCAAGCTAAGGGAGGGCAGGAATGAAGAATGCGGGCCATAGGAGGTGCAACGGTTAACCTTTGGATGCCCATCCTATCAATCCATGTCTGCTTGCTGGCCGTTGATCCATGAGGTGGACGGTCTTTACCTGTCGTTACATCCGCCTGTCCTGGCTTGCTCGTATGACCTTTTTTTTCCCTGCTTTGAAAAGGATGGCAGAGGGCCCGGTGATCGATGACGAGCTAGGCGCATGCATCGCAGAGAGACTGTCATGGCGCTCAGTCGCTCCTCCTCCTCCTCTCCCTGACCGCTGGACAGCTCAACCTTGCCTCCAGCCCGGGGCTGTGAATCGAATCGTCGCGCGAGCAAACGAGCACGCGGGGGCCCTAGGACTAGTCGTGTCATGGGACCAGCCCTTTGCTGTTCGCAGTGCGGCGAATATGCGTGACGAGGAAGGTGGGAGAAGAGGGAGGAGGGAGGGAGGTGGGAGGAAGGTGGGAGGGGGATGGAGGGGGAGGAGGGAGGAGGGTGGGAGGAAGGGGGAAGCATGGGGAGGAGGGAGGAGGGAGGAGGGTCTCGTTGAAAATGATGTGCATCAGGCCACAAACAGGATGACGAGGAGTATAGTCAGCCAAGGATCTGCGAGGGGGATTGGTAGGTGAATCCTTGCTGGGTGATGACAACTCAAGCTGATCGCTAGGCTACTGAGCATCGGAGATATCGATGTGAATGCAGACAGGGCGAACAAGAGTGAGCTCGTCAACAGACTTGTTATGTATCACATTCACACTAGAATACAACCACGTTGCCCTCACATCCATACTCGCAGGCATGGGGAGCAGGGCGAACGAGTCAGACTCGTCATGCAGCGAACTGACAAGACGGTCTTACTGCATGTCCGTAGAGCCAACGCGTGCGTGACTTCCTCTGCTAGATCTACTCTGTCACCTTGAGGCGCCATTATGCCGCTCCTGGGGAGCCGCGCATTGACATCCTGCGGTGCTAAAGCAGGAGGAAGAAACGAGCTGCAGGCATTCTAGGGTTGCCACAGCCATCGATAGATGGGGAGAGCAGAGGACGAGATGCGAATCTCATCGAGAAACCCGCGGAAGAAGCCGAAGGAGCGGCCGACGTCACCGCATGCTCCCACTCTCCACCTGCTGATCATGTCATGACTTCATCTCTGACTAACTTACTGAGGTCACAGCACCTGATGTTGGGCTGCGATGTGAACAAGTCGCTGCTGCATGCTGCGAGCTCGGCGTCTGCCCTCCACGAGCCCGTGTCGCGATCGAAGACGAAGATCTTGCACGTTCCTTGGGTCCGGTCCCCGACGATGGTTACCTTCCACCATCTTCCTTCATGCAGCTCCGTGGAGCCAGCTAGCGAGAGGAGGTCGAGGGACGCGGTCGTCCATGAGAGTACAATCCTCCTTGACATGCTCAACTGAACCCGCAGCCCCGGGTGATCCCCTGAGAAATCGAGCAGGCACGAGTCCCAGCCCTGAGGTTCATCAACCCGCAAGCTGAACTCGATGGTGAAGGAGGAGACGTTGATGAGGTTGAGGGAGGAGGCAGGAGAGGGAGACAGGAAGTTGACCCCGGGGAAGAAGGCAGAGGCCCTGGTGCCTGCGCAGAGAACGGCGAACTTCTCCTCTGGGGGGACTTCACCGGAGTAGACAGGGGCGAGGCTCCCTCCGCCTCCCTGAGCATAGAGATCGTTGCGAGGGGATGCGACCCCGCTCTCCCGGTACCACTCGTCCTGCAGCCCGACGGGCGATGCTGCGTTGATCTCGATTGCTATTGCGCCTCCTCTCCCTCCCTCCCCCTCGAACCTCCAGTAGGCGAGAACGTCGGTTATCGACCGTGCAGAGCAGGAGCAGTGTACCCCGTCCCCGGTCCATCCAGCCTGGCACTTGCCCTGGTAGTTTCGCAGCCCCACGGATATCCGAGATGGAGGGCGCTGGACGTGACCATTGCGCCCGACGCAGGTGCCGGAGAAGGAGGAGGGAGGGCAGGAGGAGCGGTAGAGCTCCACCCTTAGAGCCGCCTCGTTCTCCCACGAGACCGGGAAGATGCGGAGGAAGCGAGCGGAGAGAGGAGAAGGGAAGGAAATCAGGCGGACACTGTCTGCGTCCTCGTTGCCTTGGAAGAGGGTCCCCTGCCCTGTCTCCTCGTCTCCTACCAACATCCAGTCGACCCCCGTCGTGCTGCTGCGCACCAAGAACGACTTGACCCAGCCCTCGTTGCTGCCGTTGACGCCCCACCTCCCTCCCTGCAGGCCAACAGCGACCAAACTGTCTTCCAGCTGATGGAGCTCGACCTCGAGATAGGCCTCGGCGTCTTCCAGCTGTGGTCGCCATGCTCCTCTCTCGAAGTTCGCGTCGGGTGCCTGGTAGAGCCGCCCGTAATCGGCTGAGAAGTTCGAGCTGACGCTGCTGCTGGATCGCAGCTGGCGGGATAGGAAGAGGTTCCGGTTGCTGACCCCCAGGGCCTCGGGGCTCCCCCCGTACATGCATCCTCCCTCCTGAGATGCCCTGCTGTACTTGGACACCTCGTCCTTGCACCAGTCAGAGCAGCTCTTCCAGCCGTCTTGACATGCCGCGGTCCTCTCCACCCCCGAGAAGAAAAACCCGGCCGTCTCTCTCCCTGCTGCGCAGACGTTCAGCTGCATCTCCTCGTCCCACATCCCTCCTCCGTGCTTGTCGCCAAAGTCGTACATCCTCCACAAGTACCTCCCGTACACGTCGCCCGCCACTCCTCCTCGCAGACTAGCCTCCTCCCATCCTGCTGCCGTCCAAGATCCTCCCATGACGGTCGTCGGTGAGCGGCTGACGGCCCTGTAGACGGTGATGACGTCACCTCCATCCTGGAAGTTGGAAGACAAGACGCCCTGCTCAAGGTGCTGGACGTAGAGGACCTCTGAGAAAGGATAGTTCCTGCAGTCCGCTCGGTAGCCTGCAAGGTAGTGAGAGAGAAGAGGGAGGGAACGTGAGAAGGGAAGGCGAGTGAGAGGAAGGAGAAGGTTGAAGAGAAACGCGGAGGGAAAGGTGAACAGACATTGTGGAGCGAGAAGGGGAGAAGGAGAGGGCGTCGGAGGAAGGGTGAGTTGGCGAGAGAAGGAAGAAGAGAGGAGAGAGGAGAGAGGAGAGAGGAGAGAGGAGAGAGGAGAGAGGAGAGAGGAGAGAGGAGCGCGGAGAGAGGAGAGCGGAGAGGAGAGAGGAGAGAGGAGAGAGGAGAGAGGAGAGAGGAGAGAGGAGAGAGGAGAGAAGAGAGAGGAGAGAGGAGAGAGGAGAGAAGAGAAGAGAGAGGAGAGAGGAGAGAGGAGAGGAGAGGAGAGAGGAGAGGAGAGAGGAGAGAGGAGAGAGAAGAGAGGAGAAAGGAGAGAGGAGAGAGGAGAGGAGGGGCTACCATCAGTCCCGTAAGGGAGTGAGAGGTCGAAAGCGAACTCGTTCACAAGATCGACACGCTCAGTTGTTGTGAAGCACATCAGCCATCCCCCTCCCATGGTCTGCATGTCGCAGTAGCCGACGTGCTCCTTGGTGTGGTTGACGAAGCCGTCTTCATTCTGCGGCAGCAGCCAGTAGAGGCCCGACTGGTTATATCCTCTCTCCAGCAGCTCCAGGCAGGATGAAGCTGCAGGATCAAGTGAGGAAGGGGCGAGGTATAGGAGGAGAATGGAGGAGGGAGGGAGAGAGGGAAGAGGAAGAGGAGGGGGAGGAGGGAGAGGAGGAAAAGGGAGGAGGGAGAGGAGGAGGGAGAGAAGGGAGAGGAGAGGAGGCGGGCAGGAGAGTCAAAGAGGCAAACACGGAGAAGAAATTGAGGAGGGGGAGAGGACGGACACAAGAGAGGAGCAGGCCGGAGGGCTGGGAGGACGAGGGATGGACAGCAGACAAGGCTGATACAAACTGCCGTCCAGGAACCAACCAGGAGCGTGATCGATGGAGTTGATGACCGAATGGCTCCAGACGTATCCTACTTGACTGGTCGTCTGTGACACCTTGAAGACCTGGAGGGAGAAAGTCAGGAAGCAGCAACCATGGCTTCGGCTGTTGGACTCACTGAAACGCTTCCAGCTCGTGCTCCCTTGGCAAACCTGTCGGCCGAGTCCACCTCGCTCCCTCCAGGGGCTCCGAGGAGGAGGAAGTCGCCGTCGAAGGAGAGCGAGTGGCCGACTCTGGCGTTTGAGCATGCGAAGATATCCTGGACCTCTCGCCTCTGCACCAGGTGAAGCGATAATGGCGAGGAGGAGGACGAGGAGGAGTTAGGAACGAACAGGAAGGCACTGCCCTGGGTCCTCCTCCTCAGTCTCCCGTCCTGCTCCATGAAATCATCTGGCCATCGCGCCGGGGCCGTTCTCCCTGGCGCGCTGACGGCAGCGTAACCGAGGGGATTGAGGGAGACGGCAAAGCCAAACATCTCTGCAGACAAGTCAGTATCCTCCTCCTCCTCCTCCTCCTCCTCCTCCTCCTCTCCCTCTCTCTCCTCTCTCGTCCCCTCCATCTCTTCCTCATCCTCCCCATCATCCTCCTCCCTCTTTTCCTCTCTCTTCCTCTTCTCTTCTCCTCTTCTCTTCTCCTCTTCTCTCCTCCTCTCCTCCTACAACGATCCAGGTCAGCTCACCGCTGGAGCTGTTCGACGTCACGTCTGGCAGGACCCGCTGGTACTCGTACAAGTTCCCCTCCGCACTCTCCGCGAAAGTCAGCACAGCGCCAGAGTCCAGCGTCCTCCTCTCGTTCTCGGCCCGGAAGTTGGTCCAGCCAGGGGACCCGACGGCGAGCAGCTGCTCGTTGACATACAGGGAGAAGCCGAACCGAGCACCTGACCCTCCGCTGCTGTCGACAAGAACTTGCCGCAGCCCCCAGGACCCAGTGAGCCCGGAGGAGGAGGAGGAGGAGGAGGAGGGGAAGTATCTCCTGGGGGAGAAGGAGAAAGCCCTCCCCAGAGATGGAGCAAACTTGTCGAAGACGTACACAGCTCCGATCCTCCCAGCAACGATCCCACCTCCGACCCCAGCTCCCGGCGACCCCACGAAGATCCTGTTGCCGAACACAGCAACGGCCTCCCCGAACCGGCCGCCGGGGGTCGCCAGGAGGTTCTCAATGGTCAAGTGCCGGCAGAGGAAGGTGGTCGAGCCGCAGGTCAGGGAGGCAGGAGGAAACTGCTCGGCAGTGAGGGGGGGGTGAAGGAGGCGGGTCTGGACAAATTCATCTCCTACCCTCTCCCAAACCCCGACCAGCCCGACTCGACCCTGGTCGGAGATGCTTGCTCCTGGGGCTCCGACGACTAGGAGGGAGGAGTTGGTGGTGGCATGCAGGGCGACCGACCAGCCGTAGCCGTCGCCCTCGCAATGGCGGTAGCAGTAGGAAGGGATCAACGTCTGCACGAGCTGCGGGCCGGAGGAGGGGGAGAACATCTCGTACAGGAAAACAGCGCCGCTGCCACGCTGCATCGGTGGAGAAGGGAATCAGATGCTAGGAGAGCAGAGCAGAGAAGAGAAGAGCAGAGAAGAGCAGAGCAGAGCAGAGCAGAGCAGAGCAGAGCAGAGCAGAGCAGAGCAGAGAAGGAGAGGAGAAGGAGGAAACATACTGCCCCTCCTCCTCTCTCCTCGCCGCACCGTCCTCCTCTCATTCACTCCTCCTCAACACCTGCAACGAGCTGGGAGTGGCGCCAGGGGCTCCGACGGCGAGGAGATGCCTGCTCCTGGTGCAGATCTGATGCTAGGTCAGGCGAGGCAGAGAGGCAAGCATGCTCAGCATACCACTCCCTCCTCCAGGAAGATCAGCGACAACGATCTCCCAAAGTCAATCTCGTACGCACACGTCACGTCCGAGAAACCCTCCTCCGTCTCGTTGACAGAGCACAACCCCCATGATGGAGGAAGCAGCGTCCCTCCCTCCACCAGCCTCAACTGCAGCTCCTCCTTCCAGCGGGTCTGGAAGACAACGAACGCGCAACCGGAGCCAAACCTGATCATCTTCAGTTTGTTGTCTCATCCTCCCTCCTCTGCCCCTGCCTCTGCCTTCCCCTCTCCTCCCTCTCCCTCTCTTCAACCCCCCCCCCTCTCCTCCCATTCACAATTCTCGTTCCTTCTCCGCCTCTCCCATTCCTTCCTGACTCTCTTGCCCCCCTCGCTCCCGCCTTCGCGTCCTCACCTATCCACTGACGCTGAAGGAGCTCCTACCACAGCGATCGTGTCCACAGGCGATCCCACGACGCTGCTACCCAGCTGAGAGCCAGCAGGGAGAGGAGGAGGAAACATCTGCATGTTCAAGAAAGTAGCGTCTACGGATCCCAGCTCTATCCCCTCAGTCCACAAGTAAATCCTTGCTTCCTGGCACCCGCCCTAGTCTTCAGAGCCTTGCGACGACAAGAAAAGTCACCTGAGACTGCGGGGAGTAGGATGAGATGGCATGTTGGCCGCCATGCAATCGGCAAGAGGCAACCCCATCGCTCGTGTCGTTCAGGTAGGGAACGTTGTAAATCGCTTCCATCGCAAAACTGCAAGTTCATCTTTGATCAGCAACACCACAACAATGTATAACCTCTTCTGCTAACACTGCCTCCTCCCTCTCTCTGAACTTTTGCGCTTCTCTCCTGTCCTCTACTCTACTCTACTCTACTCTACTCTTCACTCCTCTTCTCCTCTCCTCTCTTCTCTTCTCTTCTCTTCTCTTCTCTTCTCTTCTCTTCTCTTCTCTCCCCTCCCATTACCTGTAGGGTCCCTCACTGTCACGGACGAACAGATAGGCTTGCGAGTGCTCCCAGTCGACCAAACCAAGTTCGGCTGCTCGTAGACAAATCGAAGTCCTCAACAACGACTGAGAGGGACAGTCAGGGCAGGCTCTGGAGCCGATTCAGATCACATTGCAGGCAGCGCACGTCAACTTCTTGGCAAGCGACCAGCCAGTGAAGTTGTTGTCCTCCTTGTCGGCATCCTCAAGACTCTTGTGGAAGATGAAAACAGATCCACGTCCTTCATCGCAGTTCGAGCACATCACGGCCAGGTAGCCATAACTCAAGGCAACCTGTAAGGAATCACTCGTTGCATGCGAGAAATCTCATCGCTATCACCTGCTCCCCGAACTTGTCTCCCACCACGGCCTCGCTGTTCCCATAGACGTCCACCGCTTGCAGCCTCCGCGTGATCGCCCAGTCGTCTCCTTCCCTTGTTGGCCTTTCTACCAGCACCAGCTAACAGCAAGAGGTAAGAAGGAGGAGGAGGAGGAGGATTGCAGAGAATCCCGACCGAGCCGGCGGTAGTTCCGTTGCCAGGGCACCCGATTGCCACCAGCTCGTCCGAAAAGGAGTAGAAGAGCTCTTCATCTACCGCAAGGGACCGTCCACAGCCTTCTCCTGCCACGTCATCGAAGAGGAAAGTTTGACTGGCCTCCGATCCTCTCGTGGCAAACGGGAAGAACTTGACCAAGGTCGAGTTCGCGTCGCCTACATAGGAGTAGGACACGATGAGGACTCTGGCTCCGAACGCCACGTCCATGGGGAGGATGTCAAGGCTTTCGTTGGGGTAGCTCACTTGAAAATGCTTCAACTTCCCCCAGCCATCCTTGACGAAACTGCCGTTGGCTGGCAGGTACAAGAAATAACATCAACACTTGAGAGCTGTTACAAGATCTTGGAGCTTGTACCTCCCACATGATTCCCGTAGAGGTAGATCGATCTTCCAACACAGACGGCAAGGTATCCTCGTGAGAGCCTCAGCTTCGGCGCGAGACTCTCGTTCCCTCCTCCTTGTTCCGGAAGGTCAAAGTTTGCAACCTCTCCTGCAACGCCCTCAGATATCTCACGCGGCAAATCGGAGCAGGAAGGCAACGAACAATCACCCCAATCTCCTTCCTTTCTCCTGGACCAGATGGACACTGAGAGGTTCGAGACAAACGCGAGAGCGTCCGGCCCCACATCCATGTCGAACGAGCCGCTGCCATTGACGAGGATCCTCAAGTCAGGCTGAGAGCAGGGAGACGTCAGCGTGGCAGGAAGGCGCTCAGAGCAAGGTTCTCACCTCGAGCCTCGGAGTCTCCTGCCAACTTCCTCCCTCGGCCGCAACCAACAGCAAGATCCATACCCTCCATGCCGCCATCGCCCTGCCCCGATAGTCCGTTGAAAGGTAAGAAAAAAAAGGTCAAATCAAGCTTCGTCAAATAAAGAGAAATCTCAGTCCGAGCCGGGCTCTCCGACTCAGTGACTCGCTGCTACTGGCGTGACTGAGCTAGGCTAGCGGCCGCGTGACTAGTTAGACCCGGGCCGTCCGATCAAACCCCCCTGGGCCGCGCCTACCCGTAGCCTCAGTGGTGCTGTCAAGGGCGCGCGGCCGGCGAGTCTGCCAGGCTGAGTCGGGTCAGGTACGGTACTCGGCAGACGGACTCAGTCCCCGGCCCCGGAGATTCAGACTATTGCCCGTCTCAGTGCTCACTGACTTAGATCTGACGGTTGGCTTGATCGTATCATAATGTTCCGTTCATGTTGCAAGGCCTAGCTGCAGCTAGTGCGGCGACCTCGCTGGTTGAAGTTCGTCGCTGTCAAACTTCGGGAAGGTTTATTAGAGCGGCGGGCCACACGGACTCGACTGAGGTTGCCGCTGTCAAGTTGAATCAATAGTAACTTGCGACAGACCCGGAACTAATCTAATCATGTATTGAACTATTTACAACCACTCGTGCGCCCCCTTTATAGTCGACGTCCTTCACCCCGGAGAGCTGCGTATGATTGATGGATCTGACTTAACCTGGAGCAAGATCAGCGCCTGAGAGAACGAGAGGGATTCAACGAAGATACTTGTGTGTGATGGAGGAAGAGGAGCCGACGTCGACACCAGGAGTGAGAGGGTCGAAACTTCTGATTGCCTCGCTCTGAGCCAACCGCATTGGAGGGCGATACGAAGACATTCTAGAAGCGTTCGGATCCAGTCCAAAGAGCACGGTTTGTTCAGAGGAAGCAGCAAGACTGTCCGCATGCAGAAACGCTTGACCCCCAATGCTGCCGCTCCTGTCATTGACACCCGCAGTCCAGCGCTGGTTCTTCATTGTGTGAATCGGACGCTTCGGGGTCAGCTGGGGAGGAGGGCTTGGAAGGAACGGCTTGCTGGGCTGATGCTTCAGGGGAGGCGGCGAGTTTGCGCTAGCCATCGAGTTCCAGTCCTGCAGAGAGTTCCGTAGGGCTTCAGCTGCGTACCGAGGAGTCTCGTTGAGGTCGTCCAGGCTTCCAGCAGAGCGAGTCTCGACGTTGATGTCTTGCCCTCTCCTTGCTGACGTGTCGGCGCGAGAGTACAAGAGAGTCTGATCGCCGGCAGCGTCAAAGTGCGAGTGATGGAGCGATGAAGAAGTGTCCACCCTCCCGTGGCTGCCGTGCGCCTGTCTCCCTGCCTGAGGATGGAGAACGTCGTACTTGAGGTGAGAAGAAGACTGAGTGGAGTAGTTCATCGAGGTCGTTTCCATCCCCATCACGTCCCTCGAGGAGACTTGCAGGCTGTCTGAAGGGTCCCTCTTAGCGCTGCCAGCATGGCCCAATCTATACATCTCGTGATGGTGAGAGTCGTTGGCCCGGTGACTTGAGGAGATGGCGGGAGAGTGCGTGGTTGAGCTCATGGAAGTGTTCTCGTACGATGTCGAGAGAGGGCGGTCGAAGTCCTGCACAACTTCGTTCACATGATGAAGATGATTAGAACGACCGTTCACCTCTGGCAGCGGAAGCTGTGCCTGGCGGTGAAACGGAACGCTGGAGGCGAAACTGGGCCGATCCATGGAGGACAACTCCTGCGGAAGGATGAGTCACTTGCCCGGCAGGGGAGGGGAGGAGGACGATTGTAAGGAGACGAGGAGACAACCTGTATCTTTGCATCTCTAAGACGTATCTCGCGGGCCGCATGATCAACGGATTGTTTCAGAGAGTCGATTTGACCTCGCAGATTTCTGACTTCCGTTTCATGCTCGCCTTTGATCCTGCCTATGGTTGCGGACGAGAGCTGGAAGGAGTGAGTGAGTTTGGTTGGCTGCTTTCTTGATCTCCTTTACCTCTGCTTCCATGTTCCGACTGTTATCGACAGCTGACTTCAAGGCTTCGACCTCTGCCTTTGCAGAGGAGAGCTCGAGATTGAGGTTGGATACCGCCTCGACCAGGTTTCGTTTGTCTCCTTCATAGTCTTGAATAAGTTTTCTACGGAGACCATCAGAACTCGCCATGCCAAGAGACGGTTGAAACAGAGACTAGGCAGCCAGAGAGAGAGGAAAGAGAGCAGTGATCCAGGGAGACAATGAAGGAGCACGAAGGGAGGGAGGGAGGGAGGGAGGGAGGGAGGGAGGAACTTGGAGGTTGCGATGAAGAGGGAGGGAGGGAGAGGAAGAGGAAGAGGAAGAGGAACCGAGGGAGAGGGGGAGGGGGAAGGGGAGGGAGGGAGGGGGAGGGAGAGGGAGAGGGAGAGGGAGAGAAAGAGGGAGGGAGAGGAAGAGGGAGGAAGGGGGAGGACCTCATCTCCTGGCTGCATCTCTGATGAGTCTCCTCCACTAGCCGAAGTCGATCCACTTCATTCTCAGTCTGGGCAGCTCGAGCTTTGACGTCTCTCAGCGCGTCAAGAAGCTCTTCCTGCACCGCTTTACTCTCCGCGTAGAGATCATCCTTGTGGGACAACATTTGCAGAACTTTGCTAATTTGAACAGGTCAAGGTTGAACCTCGACGTGCAAGGTTTCCATACCTCAGCTCTGTCTCGAGATATTTGCACTGCTCTCTCAGTTTGTTTTTCTCCGCTGAATCAGCTTCGAGACGGGGCAATCTTTCTCTCATCGAGTCCATTTGGCATTTCATCTCTTCCAAAAAGGCTCAGATGGACAACCTGTATCTATGATGGATTCTTACCCTTGGTAAGTCTCGTGATCCTTGACATTTGATTGGATAGAGTGTTGACTATTGCCTCTGCTGTGACGTAGAAAGATTCGAGCATGACATTGTCATTGTCGATGAAGTCGATATGATCCAACAACTGAGCTCCATCGTCATGACAGGAAGCTTCTTGTTTCATGTAACTTACCGCAGTCTTTTCATTCTCGAGCCTTGCGATCGCCTGTGCACGCAAGGTCAGGGCATGAAAGATGTGGACATGACGAATCACCTGTCTCAACTTCAGGTACTCCTCTGATTGTGATTGAATATCTGATAACTCTTGATTCCTCGCTTGTTCTTCCAGCTTTTGAGTCAGAAGCTCCTTTTCCTTCTGGAGACCTGAGATATGATCAACACAGGTAGAACAGTTCAGGACGCGCATACCTCTTATCGTGTCCTTCTGCTTCATGACTTCCTCCAACACACCTCCCTGAGAATCTCCTTGAAGACCAAGCTGCTTGCGAGTGTTCAGACAAGAGGAAGACACGGGGTAGCTCCCTACCTCATGTGCTTTGATATTGAGAGCATTCTTCAATGACTGCAGGATTCCAGATCATGACAACAGAAGAGCGATAGAGGAGGTCGCAGCTACCTTGTTGTATGCTGCTTCTTCATCTGCCGCATTCTTCACGTCATTGTACTTTGCAAATAATTCGTCATACTCCTTCTCTTTCACCGAAAATTTGTTCTGTAGAAGACAAGAATGTCAGATGAGATCGCAGTTCGAGCGTGGGTCTATGTCACCTGCAAACTCTTCAATGCCTTTGCCAAAGTCGCAAGAGCTTCTCTGTTGGATCCCTGCTGCGAAGGCTCGCTGGTCCCAGCAGCTTTCGATTCTTGCAGGGCCTTCTGCAGCACAGAGACTTGCCTCTCCGCAGCCATCAGTTCCTTCTCTCTCGCTTCCAGAGTTTTCCTCAAGTTCTTCTTCTCATTCAACGAGCTCTCGAGTTTTCTGTTGACTTGCTTGTACTCTTTCGAGATGGTTATCATTTGCTTCAACACATCCTATAAGCACAAGGCCAAACGTCAACACACATTCGACGCAAAACACAATCCTCACATTGTGCTCTTTGAAGCTCAAGTTCCCATCCCTTGCAAAATGGTCCTTCGTTATAGAAGGACTCACGCACGACATCGAGCTGTTCTTGCTGCTCTTATTGAGGGCATTGGAGCCGCGAGAGATGTCGGCTGACGCTACCTGCTCCCTGAGTTCCAGGATCTCCCTTGCCTGCTCCCTGATCTTATCAGACAGGGCTTGATACAGGGCCTCGTGGTCTCCGTGTTGCGGCTCTTTAGGGGAATTTGAGCTGAGAGAGCCATCGTGAAACGAGATGTCCGGCCTCGAACGCTCCATGGCTGTGCAAGATATCGAAGAATATTCCTACTGTGAATGTATCTCGCTTCGTGCTTTATTCCACTGCGGGCAGTGCAGAAAACTCCAGTGCAACCGAGTCAATCTCGACATTAAATACAATCTTCTTTCCGATGAGTACCATTTAGTAGACTGCTGGAACTGCCCTGCTCCCGTTTCCAACAAGCAAGGTGTGTTTGCTAACGAGACATTGAAATCTTTCAGGCATCATCGATCATCTTGAAGTTTTGTCATCTCCATACTCCCTGGCTCTTGTCTTTTCCTGCCTTCATCGTCTCCTCCTCCATTCCCCATACTAACATCTACCATCCCGCCATTGCCCGTACCCAATACACGAGTACCCCCCACCACCCCAAAGGTTGGTAAGATTGACCGGTACAAGTCCTCTTTTAGCGAAAACTCACCGCTCGCCTCAGAATATATATTGAAAAATGAAGAAGACAGCAAAATTCTAATACACATCTCGTAGCAACAAGGAGTTGAAAACAAGTTGTGGTCAAGCATGGGGGGCGAAACATGGTGGATCGGCGCGGTAGTGGTGGCTGCGATTGCAGTGTCGTTGATGAGGTGAGCAAGGAGAGAAGAGGGAAATACGTATAATGGTATGAGATGATGAGATGCTCATGGAGGTGATGATGGTAGATGTTGAAGATGTGGGTGCTGCAAGGTTGTTGCTTCTTCTCACCCGTTTTGTTACATTTGACGGCGGCACTGATGTAGAAGCCCTTTGATGAACGCACAAGAGTCTTAACACTTTCATTGTAATCTTGTTCTTGTTGATGTTTTCAGCGCAAAAAAGATGGTTTAATGATTGTATGTCCTTTGACATGGATCGCAGGACAATTCAAAAAAGTAAAGCGAGAGACAAATTTGCAAGACCTTTCAAGGAGGAAGGAGACGTTTTGCTTGTGATAGCTCATCCTGACGACGAAGCAATGTTCTTCACTCCGACAATCCTTGCATTGAGAGATAGCGTGAACGTACATGTGATGAGCTTGTCGAACGGTGATTACGCGGGATTGGGTTGGGTACGAGCGAGCGAGCTCGTTGAGAGCTGTCGTCTGCTGGGGATCCCAAAAGAACGTGTGAGCGTAGTGGACGATCCGTCCTTGCAGGTTTCCTTCCTCTTCTCTGTGTAGGTAAGAAGCTGAACCGTGGACGAAGGATGGGCCCACCAATACGTGGAGCCCGGACACCATATCCTTGTATATACTGCCGTACCTGAAGAAGAATGGTATCAGCACAGTCATCACCTTTGATGAATATGGTGTATCAGGTCAGAGGAAGCTAGTTGGACTCTGTGCCGCTAATCCATCGCGCAGGACATCCCAATCATATAGCAGTTCACACTGCCTTGGTGAAGCTCGTCCAGAACAAGCGGATTGAAAAAGGAAAGGCATGGAAGCTACAGAGTGTCAACCTGTATGTCCGCAAGAGATAGAAGGCTTGTGGACTTTTCTCACTTCCATATCCTTCAGGCTTCGCAAGTATATTGGTCCACTTGCAGCGTTAGAAAGTGATGTTCGAGAGCTGCTAAGAATGGACTCCCCGACGTCGCAGACAGTCTTCTTCTTCGATCTCGGAGCAGTCTGGAAATGTCTGAAGGTAAACCTGGTGGGGATGGACGTGCCTTTCATCACAGTACCCATTCGCAGGCTCACAACAGCCAGTGCGAGTGGTTTCGCCATCTTTTCATCGTCTTTGGAAGATACTCCTACATGAACACATTAGATCTGATCGACGGCTGAGGTTTTTGATCACCTCACTCTCATGCCATGAATGAACTTGTAATATGCTTGATCGACTTGCTTTCAGACATCAGAACGTGTCGTAGAGCCAAGTTTGTAGTCAGCTGAGACAATCCTGAGGTGAGCTCAAATTCACAAGCTCCCCTCAGAGTTGCACACTTGGACGAAAACCCCTCCCTCCTTCCTCCTCACTACCTCCCTGCTCTTCTCCTTTGATCAGACCAACTTGGTCGTTACGATGCGCACAGCTCTGTCCCTCTCTGTTGTGTTCCTCCTCTCGCTGCTGCCGCCATGCGCCTCTTGGAACGTCGCGTGCACCGGTAGAATGTGCGCAGAGCATGGCCGACGAGACATCGCGGTCCTCCTGCGCGCCTGAGCTGACAACCGGTGTGACGGTTACTAGAAGGTGTCGAGGAGAGAGGTCATCACGGCCGCCAAGTTGGTTGCTCCTTCTCTGCACCTCCTCATCACGAGAGAGGCGGCGGCGGCGGATCAGAATCAGCTCTCTACTTTCCAGACTTCAGGAACCGGTACCAGTGCTGGCAGAGGCTATGGTGGAGGTGACAGGAAGTCCGCAGGCCTCAAGTTTGTCGACATCAGAGCAGGCAGCGGCGAGGAAGTCAAGGTTGGCGACAAAGTGAGCTTCCATTATATCGGGAGACTTGCAGGACGCCAGGGGAAGCCTTTCGAGGACACGTACGTGCGGAGCCTAGTGCCCGTACTGATGATCGTGACTCTCCCGCAGATACTCCGATGAGCCTGTTCGGGTAGAGCTGGGTAAGACGCGGGTGATCAAGGGGCTGGTAGGTCAAGGGGCCAGAAGCGTGGTAGCTGACGTCATGGCAGGAAGAGGGTCTGCTGGGGATGAGGGAAGGCGGCAAGCGGAGGCTTCTGATCCCTTCCTCCCTGGGCTACCATAACAAGTAGGGGGCAACGACTTCCTGTTCTGTCGAGGAGCGGCTGAGCAAGGTCGGCAGGAGCGAGGAGCCTATCCCACGTTCCTTCGGCAACAGGCAGAGGCTGTACTCAACAGTCCTCAACAAGATCCGAACGGAGAGGGAGCGCAAGGTCAAAGAGCCTCTGTCCATCCCCTCTCCGCCCTTGCTCACGCTGACTGTTGTGACTGCTACCAGGCGCTAGGGCAGGATATTGCGGGGGTCGTCCTGATGGATGTTGAAGTAACAAGAGTTCGGTCTGGCCAGATGTGAAGTCGCCGTAGGCCAAGTGCGAAGAAGAAATTGCATGGATGAAACTGAATTTCGTGTTCGTGTGGACCCCGCTGGCACTGATCGCATAGCCGGCAACCCCCTTCACACTATCGCACAACCTCGCTCTCCGAGGCTCATCTCAGTCCCTCAGGCAGGAACACAAGTCTTGTATTTTACACATGTATTGTACACTAGTCATACATCCCTTCAGCTGGACTAAACTGATGGGCTGCCAGCTCAGCGCTCCACCTACTAACTAGTCTTAGGCTGCAGCAGCTTGACGAGCAAGCCTGACGCCATGCCGGTGGTCCCGGGCCTGTCTCGAGTGGGCCGGGGCAGAGGAGCCTCTGAGGCTCGGGGTGTTGCTGATGAGCTTGTTCATGATCTTGTCGTAGTTGGACGCCATCACGTCGTAGGAGAACTGCCGCAGCACGCGGTCGCGGCCGGCCTTGCCGATGGTGTTCCGCAGCTCGGGACTCTGATGGAGCTTGTAGATGGCGTCGCTGAGAGCTTGGGCGTCGGCTGGAGGCACCAGCAGGCCGTCCACTTGGTGGTCCACGGCCTCGGGGATGCCGTCGATGGCGCTGCAGACCACGGGCTTGTTGAAGGCCATGGCTTCGCCGATGACAAGAGGAAGCACCTCGTTGAGCGAAGGCACCAGCACCACGTCTGCTGCCATGTAGTATCGAGTCACGTCCGCCTGGATGTCCATGACGGTCAGCCTGGCTTGACCCCGCTGGTCCTCGTCGGTGTCTTCCCATCGAGCGTAGGACATGTCGTTGGCCTTGGCTTCCTTCTTGAGCTGCTCGATGTACTCGATCTCGTGGTCGCGTATGTACCGCGCCCCGACCATAAGGCACTTGAGGTCCTTGCAGCCCATCTCGTTGACGAGCCGAGAGCAGGCCTTGACTGTGTAGAGCTGTCCCTTGCGGTTGCAGATGGTGCCGAGATGGAGGACGACGAAGTCGTCGGGGCCATACCCGAGCTGAGCCCGGACAGCATCTCTTTCATTGGACTTCATGAAGTCATCGAGCTTCTTCAGGGGGATCCCGTTGTAGACCGTGCATGCGGCGTCCTCCTTGTAGAGGCCCTTGTAGATGTCCTTCTGAACGTTGGAAGGGAAGACGACACAGCCACAGTTGGCAAACGCCTCCTTGATCATGTCAGCGCTCAGAGACTTCATCATGAACACCTCCTTCGCGTAGTGCTCGAGCTGGTCTTGCGGCCACGCCTCGTGGATCACCCACACGGTCGGGAGTCCCATCTTGTGAGCGAGGTTGACGACGTCGCACCTCATGATGGTGTTGGCGAAGACCATGCCGATGCCCTCGTCTTGCAGGCGCTGCTGCAGGCTGGGAAGGAAGTCTGGTGCTGCCACGTCCATGATTTCTACCTTGAGGCCCAGCGCTTCGAGGTCAGCTCGCATGGGTCCCTCCTTGGGGGCGTACACGACGGTGAAGGACTGGCTGGCCATCAGCTTGCTCATGAGATGCAGGCAGAAGTTGTTGGCGCCGTTGCGCTCGAGCGAGTGCATGAACATGGCTACCTTGGGCTTGTCCTGCTGCAAACGGGCAGCGTGCTTGTGCTTGAGCTGGCTCTGTGGCTTGGTGTCATACAGGCTGGAGATGAAGTGGTCCATCTTTCCAGCGTTGCTCCAATCGTGCTGGGCAGCCAGACGGCGGAGCTCGTTGATCTCGAGCCCTGCGTCCTTGAGCCGGCGCATGGAGGAGAGGAGCGCCTTGGAGTCCATCTCTCCTCCTCGAAGGCGGAGGTCCTTGAGCAGAGCCTTGCTGCTTCCGAAGGGGATACGGCCGTCAGCGGCCGCGACGAGGCGAGTGGCGGTCATGAAGGAGACGGCAAGGAGGAGCTCTCGTATAGGGCGTGTATGCATCATGGTGGGACCAAGGAGTAGGGGCGATGATGATCTTTGTTAGCAAGCGTCGAGTACGATCGAACAGGAGGGGGACTTATAAGGTCGAGGATACAGCTATGGGAGGTGCGAGGAGGATTTTGAGAGCGTCAGAGGAGAGTGCAGAGGATGCTGATGAGGATCGTCAGGAGGAGGAGGGGGGGGGAGGGGAAGGAGGTCGTTGTGGTTGATGAGCGACTCCTCCCCGACTTTGATTTTCATAGCGGCATTCTTGGGGAGGAGCCGTGCAGTCGCCAGGGAGGGCCGTGATAGGACGAGGGGGGTAGGGGTGCAAAAGAGGGCAGGGGTGGGTGAGGGCAGCGGGAGGAGGGGGTGGGGAAAGACAGAAGAGGTGGATCCATCACATGGAGATTGATAGGGTAGGGGTGCCTTCTTGCCAAGGTTATCCGCCCCTTTGTTTTGACCATAGGTTTTGACCACAGGTTTGACCGTTTTGACCGACGCTCCGTCCGACTGTTCCCAGGTGCATTGTTCCCCTACGACTTACCTAGGACATCGCTAGCACCAGAACCCGGAAGCTATATCATAGTACTACAGCGCAAACGTCTCTTTCGGCGGCGTTTCGAAATGAGCAACTGCCAGTACAAGGTGCCCCGGAGATCGGGAGGGCCGCTCCGGAGTCTGCAGCCGATGCCGGTCAAACTTCAGTAGTCAAACTCAGTGGTCAAATGCCCGTCAAACTCCCAGCGGACGCATCAGATGCAAAACGAACGAACGTGGTCAAACCAGTGGTCAAACAGCTGACTGAACAAGGACCGTGGGACTGGTCAAACCTACAGTGGTCAAATTAAAGAGGCGCATAAAAGGGAACCCCACCCCTGATGGCTCCCCAACTTGCCCCTTCCTCTACCCCCTCCTCCCTCTGCCCTCACCCACCCCTGCCCTCTTTTGCACCCCTACCCCCCTCGTCCTATCACGGCCCTCCCTGGCGACTGCACGGCTCCTCCCCAAGAATGCCGCTATGAAAATCAAAGTCGGGGAGTCTCAAGGCCTTCAGGATGGCACGTAAACACGGTGGATTGACGACCTACACGAGACTGACGATCCTCATCAGCATCCTCTGCACTCTCCTCTGACGCTCTCAAAATCCTCCTCGCACCTCCCATAGCTGTATCCTCGACCTTATAAGTCCCCCTCCTGTTCGATCGTACTCGACGCTTGCTAACAAAGATCATCATCGCCCCTACTCCTTGGTCCCACCATGATGCATACACGCCCTATACGAGAGCTCCTCCTTGCCGTCTCCTTCATGACCGCCACTCGCCTCGTCGCGGCCGCTGACGGCCGTATCCCCTTCGGAAGCAGCAAGGCTCTGCTCAAGGACCTCCGCCTTCGAGGAGGAGAGATGGACTCCAAGGCGCTCCTCTCCTCCATGCGCCGGCTCAAGGACGCAGGGCTCGAGATCAACGAGCTCCGCCGTCTGGCTGCCCAGCACGATTGGAGCAACGCTGGAAAGATGGACCACTTCATCTCCAGCCTGTATGACACCAAGCCACAGAGCCAGCTCAAGCACAAGCACGCTGCCCGTTTGCAGCAGGACAAGCCCAAGGTAGCCATGTTCATGCACTCGCTCGAGCGCAACGGCGCCAACAACTTCTGCCTGCATCTCATGAGCAAGCTGATGGCCAGCCAGTCCTTCACCGTCGTGTACGCCCCCAAGGAGGGACCCATGCGAGCTGACCTCGAAGCGCTGGGCCTCAAGGTAGAAATCATGGACGTGGCAGCACCAGACTTCCTTCCCAGCCTGCAGCAGCGCCTGCAAGACGAGGGCATCGGCATGGTCTTCGCCAACACCATCATGAGGTGCGACGTCGTCAACCTCGCTCACAAGATGGGACTCCCGACCGTGTGGGTGATCCTTGAGGTGTGGCCGCAAGACCAGCTCGAGCACTACGCGAAGGAGGTGTTCATGATGAAGTCTCTGAGCGCTGACATGATCAGGAGGCGTTTGCCAACTGTGGCTGTGTCGTCTTCCCTTCCAACGTTCAGAAAGACATCTACAAGGGCCTCTACAAGGAGGACGCCGCATGCACGGTCTACAACGGGATCCCCCTGAAGAAGCTCGATGACTTCATGAAGTCCAATGAAAGAGATGCTGTCCGGGCTCAGCTCGGGTATGGCCCCGACGACTTCGTCGTCCTCCATCTCGGCACCATCTGCAACCGCAAGGGACAGCTCTACACAGTCAAGGCCTGCTCTCGGCTCGTCAACGAGATGGGCTGCAAGGACCTCAAGTGCCTTATGGTCGGGGCGCGGTACATACGCGACCACGAGATCGAGTACATCGAGCAGCTCAAGAAGGAAGCCAAGGCCAACGACATGTCCTACGCTCGATGGGAAGACACCGACGAGGACCAGCGGGGTCAAGCCAGGCTGACCGTCATGGACATCCAGGCGGACGTGACTCGATACTACATGGCAGCAGACGTGGTGCTGGTGCCTTCGCTCAACGAGGTGCTTCCTCTTGTCATCGGCGAAGCCATGGCCTTCAACAAGCCCGTGGTCTGCAGCGCCATCGACGGCATCCCCGAGGCCGTGGATCATCAAGTGGACGGCCTGCTGGTGCCTCCAGCCGACGCCCAAGCTCTCAGCGACGCCATCTACAAGCTCCATCAGAGTCCCGAGCTGCGGAACACCATCGGCAAGGCCGGCCGCGACCGCGTGCTGCGGCAGTTCTCCTACGACGTGATGGCGTCCAACTACGACAAGATCATGAACAAGCTCATCAGCAACACCCCGAGCCTCAGAGGCTCCTCTGCCCCGACCCACTCGAGACAGGCCCGGGACCACCGGCATGGCGTCAGGCTTGCTCGTCAAGCTGCTGCAGCCTAAGACTAGCCTAGTAGCCTTACTAGCTGGCGGCAGCCCGTCAGTTTAGTCCAGCTGAAGGGATGTATGACTAGTGTACAATAAATGTGTGAAATACAAGAATTTGTGCGGCTTGTCTACTGAGTAAACACCGTATCGGATCACTGAGTTGATTCCGAGCCTCAGCCGCGACGAATCACTGATCATGGCATCTTTCGTGACTCAAAGTTAACTCCGTTACTATTCAAAATCCTCCGTATGTCAATTTCCCGAGAGTTTTATATCAGACAGTGAAAACGCGGCGCCCTGGCACGGTCGCGGCGTCACCGTGACTTCCAGGTTCTGAGTCACGCAAACTGTCAGGGCCGCCGGCCTGATGGAGCACATTGACTGGCCGCTCAAGTTCGAGCCAGACTTGAATTATTGACTCTGAGCGCATGGGCCATGATGTGCCACGGTGCCGCACCGAAACCCAAGCCTAGCACTGAAGACTAAGGGTCGTGCCTTGGTTTACTGGAGAGTTTGGCTAAATCGGCGCTATATGACTGGCACGGCTGGCCGGGCACCGGGCCGGGCATGCGATCCAACCGTCGTCTCCCCGAGTTTCCGAGTGAAATGTTGCGAACTTCCGAAGAAACTTCAGATGGTCACGAGTCCGAGCCTCGGACGCCGGGTCGGTGCGCTGACGCCGGCCGTCCGGCGCCCGGAGTCACAGTCGGAGCCCGGCCTGAGTCGGCTGCCGCCGCGCCCGGCGGCCCGCCGGAGTCGCCGGCCCGGGCCCGGTGACCGTTGCAATATTGTAACCGCGAAAGGGCACGTGCGGTCACCCATAGCATGCCGAGCAGCAAGCGGCAAAAGCTCATCTCCTTGACCAAGGTGAGGAGGGAGGGAGGGGACGAGAGAGATGCAGGCGATGGAAGGGAGGATCCTTCCCTCGGGAGAGAGTCGTGAAGGAGACGTGGGTTGGAGGGACTGAGCGAGGGGAAAGGGGGAGGAGACGGCTGGTAGAAGTGCGAGGGTCCAAAGGAAGTTCTTAGTGTGGGGTGCACCGTATGTGAAGTTGGTCTCGCGTTGACGATTCCATATCGTTGTCTCAGGTCAAAAAAGCCGGTAGAAAGCACAAAGAATCACTCGTTGAAACAATTCATGAATGCCTGGATAAGTATTCGCACGTTTATGCATTGTCGTTGGAAAACATGAGGACAAGCTTGTTGAAGGATCTCCGTCAGAAATTTGCAGAGGACCGGCAAGTTGCTTGTTGGTAAGCATCGCAATCAGTGAGAGTTTTGATCTTGCAGGTTTGTCATGGGGAAGCAGAATGTTATGGCGTTGGCATTGGGCAGAAGTCCGGAGGAGGTTTAACAGCAAATTGCCAAACGTAGCCCCTTGACATTTGAGGACAGGAAACCAAGGAGAATCTTCACCAAGTCACCCAAGTACTTTTTTCTACAATCACTTGCTCCTCGCCATGAGACGCTTCACTTTACTGACCTGTACCACTCCCAGCATCTGAATGGCACAACAGCATTATTCTTTAGCTCTCGTCCACAAACAGAAATCACAAGGTCACCGTCTGGCCCCATGTTGCTGTGCCCCTGACTCTCATGTTCACACAGCTTCTTTGACAAGTACCAAGAGAGTGACTTCGCCAAAGGTGGAGTGGAAGCGACGGAGGACTATGAGATCCAGGCTGGACCCCTCCCCTTCCAGCACACCATGGTCGAGCCCCTGAGAAAGCTTGGGCTGCCAGTTATGCTCAAGAATGGGACGGTGATGTGCGAGAAGGATCACACCGTGTGCAAGAAGGGAGTCGTCCTTACCCCTGAGCAGGCTCAAGTTCTTGTAAGTTGTTCTGGCTCTTTGCAATCCTGTCATGAACATTGAATCCGCAGAAATTGTTAGGGGAGAAGCAAGCAATCTTCAAACCCGAGCTGAAATGTGTATGGCATGATGGGACCTACGCAGCATTCGAGTGATACGGCAGCTGATTCTCGATGCTTTCTGATTCTACTCACAGTAGTAGGAATGTGTGATATATATAGTTAGAAATAACTTACACAAGTCAAGTGACTCGATCGTCCCATCCTTCCTCATCAACGCGTTGACATTTCTCAAGGTGCAGCAGAGAGACAAGTAAAAGAAAAAGAAGCTTTACTCGTATTTTCACTGGTCACATTTCTGTGCTCAACCCGGCAATTGGAACTTCGCTCCATCGCGGAGAGCGATCCAATAGTAGTAGAAGAAGTCTGCATACAGCAAAGTCTGGACCACTCCAGACACCCACACCAACGGCTGCAGAAAAGCTTGTGTCAAGGACAAGCAGGAAACAAGCCCATTTAGGCTGGCCAAGATGGGGAACAGGCTTTTAGTGTGTGTAAAAGCAAGAGCCGGGAAAGTTGAGAAGAATAGAGCAGAAGAGCAGAAGAGCAGAAGAGCAGCGAAGACAGCCAGAAAGAGAAACAGTGTAGCAGGGAGAAGGTGGCACATGAGGATGTAGATAGGAAAAGAAGCAGAGAGAGAGGAGGGAAGAGCTATGGAGGGAGGAACTGTTCGGACCTGCCAGTAATGCTTTTCTGTGAAGTATCTGTAGATCCAGTTGATAATGTAGAGACCGCGATAAGCCCCGACGCAAAAGATGTAGAGGAGCGTGAAGGCTTCTCCCTCCTTCGTCTTCTGCAACATAAAGAGCTGGGGCAGGATCGCTACTGCCTCCAGATAGATGGAAAATGCCCAAAGAATCTGAGAGCTCGTCAGCTCAGCCATACCCAGTCTCGACCTACCTCGAACGCTTCAAATCCCTCGTTCCAGATGAGAGCGAGGAGGAAGCATGGGACTATGATGTACCCAAGCACTCCGTGAGGGGGAAGGTGCCCCATGAAACTTCCATCCCCGTGCAGCTTGTCATTGTCCATGTCATAAGAGGATCGGTATTTTGTAAGCTGCAAGCATGTGAGCAATGCTGCCGTAGCAGTCGCTAGAAGGCAAGGGGCTTTACCATCCAATAAACAATCGTTGCGGTGGCAGAAATGAAAAATATCTTCATCATGGTGTTGTAGAGTGAGACGAAGCTGAAGAACAAATCGAGATATCGGCAGCAGAAGACTATCAGGAACAAGATCTGTGACTTGAGAGACACTCCACGGCAGCTTCTCTGGCCTCTCATTCTGTACATGAGGACAAGAAAGCTGATCAGGTGGAGCATATCTCCGGAGAGTCGGAAGATATTCATGATTCCAAGAGTTCGATCCTTTCACTTCCTCAATTCTTCACCAAGTATATCAAGCCAAGGCCCTGCAAACCGACCTGTAGACCATGATTCAGTAACTTTACAACTCCATCGAAACATAATAATTCACAAAAGAAACTGGAGGGTCGGTAGGATGGGAATCGACACCAAGAAAAACGAGTAAAGTGTCATTCAATCGCTTTGAACAGAATACCAAGTAGTATTTTCATATATAATCATTCTCAGAGCACATAAAATCGCTCAAGCCTTGAGCTTCAGCTCAATCCGAGTTGGCATTCCACAGCAGATACTCTTTTCCTACTGCATCTTTCTTACAAACTAACTTCTTCCCTGTACCTGCATCGCAACTTTTACAGAATGACAAGTCAGTTCACGCAAAATTCTGCCTCTGACGTCATCTGCACGCTTTTTCTCCTTCCTGCCGCTGTTTCATCTGCCATGGAACTCTCTATCCATTTCACCGCCGCTGACTCATGTTCGTTATTGAACGTTACTTCCACGTACCCACCCCCACCCCTGGAGGTACACTCTCTGTTGGAACTGCACTGCCGCAACCGGGTCATATTTCGCCGAGTCGCCGCCGGCCGGGCCCAACTTAAAACCGCCGGCCGGACCTGACTGACACCCGGCGAGACAGAGTGGTACTTGTAGTTTTTAAATTTATGGACCTGTTGATAATAATAAAAGGATAATTGGAGGCAGTAGAATCATGAAACCGGCAGCGATATTCAGTACAAAAAATATTGAAAGGTGCCTAGCAATCTATGGTTTGTAACATATTTATCCTACACTTTAACAATATTTATACAGATTTGATACAGCCTAGAACAGAAACAGGGTACGGCTCTGCTTCCGATACAAAAGATAAAACATTTCTTGGTACATGAATGAATTAGTTAGAATCAAAGCAATTTGAATTGACTAATTTCAAATAACTACCATGTATTTAAACCAACACATGGAATCTAAATATTTTTAAGGTCCAAGACACTTATAAACCTTCGTTGTGCACCCACCACCCCTAGCTCGCTGTATATCGCACCCCTCATGGACTACCCTACCTACATTTTCTCGGAGCAGTTTATTCATCTTACTACGGGTGCCTTCGTCTGATTCAGTACCCCTACCCTGATCTCCATACCTCTATCAGCTACATTTCTAGGACCCCCACCCCCTCAACTTCGTGATAAATGTTACCCACCCCTACTGTCTATTGCAACAAACCCCCTGTGGCTTCGGAAAGTCCCTAAGTACCCACCCACCCCTTTTACTCCCGGATAAAAGTAAGTACCCCACCTGATAAACTCCCAAAACCCCACCCACCAAACCCCACCCCTCCTACTCTCCACCCCACAGCGTCCCTGCACATGGCAGCCTCGCATGCTCCGAAAGCTTAAAACATGCATGCTGCCATCCACCGTTTACTCCGAACCATCACCACCACCTCCTCCTCCCCCTTCTTACTTGGTTGATCCTGTGATGATGGGCTCATTCCCCTTTATCCTTGATGAATGCCGCTACCTCTCTCCTTTTCTTCGGTGTGTCTGACAGTCCGCTAGCCATGCTAGTTGCAGAGTACATGTTACGTTTCATTTTCGAAAGCAATTGATAACCATAGATGTGATGTCAAATAATGCTTGCTTCCTTTGTCATTCTGTGTGATCCATCACGACTTTGAAGAGAGTTTGCGCGATATCTACAACCATTGTAAGCGGCCGCCAAAATGTAGACAGCGGTGCAAATGCAAAGTTCGGAAGGAAGTGACCGATCTCTGTCACCTTGTTGTTGTTTTGATGATGATGGTGCTGATCATGGTGCTGATCATGATGATGATGATGATGATGGTGATGGTGATGATGATGATGATGATGATGATGATGATGATGATGATGATGATGATGATGATGATGATGATGATGATGATGATGATGATGATGATGATGAATTCGTCGAGATAATTTACTTTGGATGCGCCAACCTTTTCTTTATACAGAACGTAATTTGAGACCATCTTTTGCTCACTGTGTCTTCTCTGCAGGGCTGGTGAATCAGCTGGATCAGGAATGGATATCTGCCAAAAGCTTTGAATCGTGACGTCAACGACCGATTCTTGGATCCATCACGAATATGATTTCAAGTGGAGCATACAGCATGGCTGGAAGAATCATTCTTTCCATGCAACTCACAGCGCTTTTCGTGGTTCAAGTCTCCTCGTACCAGGGCTTGACCCCGCCTGTTAGCAACTCTTGGCGCTCTTCTCAGTTTCTCTCTCCCACCCTGTCGAAGTTCGCATGCAGGCGATCACTTCAAAGTGTACAGAAATCGCTCTTCCTCCGACGGGCCTCACCCTCTCTTGGTGTCACGATGATGGCGAAGAAGAAGTTGACTGAAGCGCAGCTCAGGGCACTCGAAGCTCTGCAGCAGTTCGAGAGCCAGCAGGCTGTAGCAGAAGCACCGCAGGAAGAAGTCAAGGCTGAGCCGGAGGCAAAGGCTAACCCTCCAGCAGGAGGTGGCAAGAAGAAAGGGAAGAAGATGACCCCGCAGCAGTTGAAGATGCTGGAGGCTGTTGAAGCCTTCGAAACCACTTCGTCGAGCGCAGAATCGTCTCAAGATGATGCACCATCTCTGAAAGAGGCATCGTCTGATGAGATAGAAGACACAGGTGCGGGTAAGAAGAAGAAGAAGAAGCTTTCCAAGTGGGAGCTAGAGCAATTGGAAAAATCTGGGGATACCTCAGTGAGCGAAGACAAGGCAGAAATTGCGCAAGCGAGCAAGGAGGTGAAAGAGGTTGTAGCTGATGTCAAGCCTTCCAAAACGAAGCCAGAGAGTGTGCCAGCAGTAAGTATGGAAGGGGATCTTGACTTCCTTGGTCTGGAAGATGGTGGTCGTCCGAAGACTTCAAAGAAAAAGGTAGGTTCAACATATCCCCGAGGCTCGGAACTGAACTCGCATGTGTAGGGCAAGAAGGGACAAGAAAAGAAAAATGAGATCGAAAGTGAGATGAACACAGAAGAGAGTTCCGAGACAGAGCAGGAAGCTGAGGTAGTAGCCCCGAAAGTGACCAAGCGTCCACCCCCGCGAGTTCGCATCGACTCAGTTGCTCAACCTGGCTATGTCAGCCTCCGAATGGAGAAAATCGCTCTGACCTTCAAGAATCAGGTTTATTGCTTCAATAAGACATGTGAAAGAGAATCTCACGCCTGCTCAGGACGTCCTCAAGGATTGCAGTTGGTCGGTACAGACAGGTGATCGAGTCGGATTGGTTGGGGCAAACGGTGGTGGCAAAACAACACAGCTTCGTGTGCTTTATGGAGAGCTTGAACCAGATTCAGGCGACATCGTCAAGTCATCTGCTGACCTTCGTCTTGCATTTTTGAGGCAGGAGTTCGTTGACGACCTGGTGCTGACCAGAACTTTGAAAGAAGAGTTGATGTCTGTTTTTGGAGAAGAGGCAAAGGTGCTTAGCGAAATCGAGGAGGCGGAAAACGAGCTCTCCCAGTGCAAGGATGATATGGAGAAGATGCAGACAATCCTCGACAGAATGCAGGAGCTGCAGAACAAAGCCGATTCGATGGGGGTGACGGGGCTTGATGCAAGAGTGGAAAGGATCATGAACTTGATGGGATTCTCTCCAGAAGAAGGAGACCAGCTTGTTGCTGCTTTCAGTGGCGGATGGAAGATGCGTATCGGTTTGGGAAAGATTCTTCTCACTGAGCCAAACATCCTCCTGCTCGATGAGCCGACAAATCATTTGGACCTTGAAAGCATTGAGTGGATGGAATCCTTCTTGATCAATCAGAACATTCCAATGGTCATTGTGAGTCACGATCGTGAGTTTTTGGACAGGGTCTGCACGAAGATCGTGGATTGCGAGCAAGGAGTCACGAATACGTACGATGGCAACTATTCCCGATTCTTGAAGTTGAAGAAGGAGAGAATGGAAGCATGGCAGAAGTCATACGACAATCAGATGAAGAAGGTGAAAGCAGAGAAAGACTGGATCAACAGGTTCAAAGTGGGTGCTCAGGCGTCTCAAGCTGCTTCGCGACAAGCCAAGCTTGAGAAGTGGATGGCGTCTGAAGAGTTCGTTGCCAAGCCCCTACCCCTGGCAAACCTTGGAAGTTTCGGTTTCCATCTGCTCCTAGAATGGGCAATGCCGAAGCTGTTGTCAACGTAAAGAACCTGGAGCATGGATATGAGATGCAAGGGAAAGAAATCCTCTTCAAGGATGTGGAATTCAACCTTGAGAAGGGAGACAGGGTGGCGTTGATCGGACCGAATGGTTGCGGGAAGTCAACGTTTCTGCGATTGATTGTAGGAAAGGAAGAGCCTCGATCTGGCGAGATCAAGCTTGGAGGTGGAATGAACCTGGCTGTGAACTACTACGAGCAGAATCAAGCTGATGTTCTGGATCCCGAGATGACGGTCCTTGAAGTGATCAAGGTGCGATAGTGATGGGAGGCAGAGTTGTTACGACAGCGCTCACTGACTCCTTGGTCATGTAGGAAGCCTCTGATGGTTCGGTGGAGTATGAAGAGATCAGGAAACTCTTGGGGCAGTTTTTGTTCAAGGGAGACACGGTCGAAAAGAAGATCGCTATGCTCTCAGGTGGAGAGAAAGCTCGCGTTGCCCTCTGCAGGATGATGCTTCGACCGGCCAACCTTCTTGTATGTCTCTGGATGAGAGTCGCAACCTTGAAGCCTCTCATGCGCCCGCAGGTGCTGGACGAGCCAACCAACCACTTGGACATTCCAGCCAAGGAGATGCTGGAAGAAGCGCTCAAGTTCTACGACGGCACCCTGCTGGTACCTCGGTCAACCACATCCTTTGTCTGTTCTGAGAGGGTTTGCCCATCAGGTCATCTCTCACGATCGATACTTCGTGAGTCAAGTCGCCAACATAATCGCGGCCTTTGAGGACAAGAAGCTTGTTCGTTACAACGGAGATTACAAGCACTACATGGACCAGAATGAGAAGTGGGCCAAACAGGTGCACCTTCGCTTGATTGTTCTACTTGTCCTTCCTCCCCTCTCCCCCTCCTGCTGCTCACTTCGCTTCTCGATGCTCCATGCCTTGTTCTTGACTCTTCGTTGCTCCTCTTCTATCAACTGATTCCCTCCTGGTCACTTGCTCTCCTTGTGAACCTCTCAACATGCTCTTATCCTTCCTTCATTGGTTCCCTCCTCTCAAAATGGAGCAGGTCGAGTCCAGGTATGTCGACGGCTTGGAAGGCATCCAAGAGCTCGTGCTGCCTGAGGTTGAGATTGACAAGCCCAAGGTTGGTGCCTGCCATGTCTGCAGCTTCCTTACTGATTCCGATCACGCAGAAGACCAAGAACTTCGGCGGCAGTGCGGTGACGAGTGGCAGAAAGGACAAGGGAGTTAAGGTGCTGCTGCTGACTTTCTTCGTCCATCCCTGACATCTTCCATTTCGCAGAATGCAAAGCGCATGCAATGAGGGGAGACGCGAGTCTCTTGACTGAAGACGCTGATTTCGGAGCTTTGTAGCAAGCGCAAGGATTACGGCGACCCCGCGTAGTTGAGAACTTAGAGCAAGTGGACGAGAACACGCGGATGATGGCAGATGATGAAGAGCGAGTAGATTTATGGAAGAATCTAACATGAATGCCTTGAAGATGTATGATGTAGACGTCATGCCGTCTGTCTTCGGGAATAAAGGTTGTCATGACGCCGAGTTAATCTCAATCCCAATGGAGTTCATGGGAATTGTCTATCACAACACTTCACACAAGTCTTCCTGTATGATCATGGGACGTGATGCACAAACCTTTGCCTTCATCTTCGGTGTCCCGCCATACTTCTTCACCTCCATCGTCGTCGTCACTGCCCTGCCCGTCGTCGTTCGCTCCCACGATACATTTTGCTGGGACAACCCCCACCCCCTAATATCCGATCACCACCCCCTAAAAGAGAGCTAAAATGGAGGTTGATCACGGGTAAAAATCAGGGAGGCCAAGGGGGTAGCATTCAGGGCGGTGGTGGGTGGTGGTGGCGGGAACGCGGGCAAACGCCACTGGGAGAATGGCGAAGACGAATGGAGCGACATTGAAGTGCCCGCAGGAGTACATAGAGGTGCTGAGAAAGGCTCTCATAGGTGAGATCATACTCATGCACCTTGATGGTTCCCTCTCCTGAGAGAGAAAGAGAGTTTCTCGAGGGGGTTTCTTGTTGCTTCCCTTGTACAGGCATTCTGGCTCTGACTTGCACGTTTTGCTCCCTCCTAGATGAAAGAGGACAGGACAAAGACCTGTCCAAGGACGTGCAGCCTTACTCCAAGTTCAACCAGAATGGGTTAAACTGCGAAATTCGGTTCTCCAAGGAGCTCGGGAGCCTTGAGACTTGGGCTATGATCATGACAACCAACAACATGACGAAGTTGTACGACGAGTCCAAGTGTGCTTGGTCAGATGACATCAAGTTCGACGAACTGGTCGATCACGGAGGGGCTGCCCGTTTCCTTGTGGTGTATGAACGAGACGCGAGGTCCAAGGATGCGAGGAACCCTGTGGGATTTGTCCATTTCAGGTTTACCCTCCAAGGTGAACCGGTCGGGGTGGAAGCAGGAGAGCCTGCTCTCTACGTTATGGACATTCAGCTGGAGGAATCTGTCCGGAGGAGGGGATTGGGGAAGCACCTCATGACAGTGATCGAGAACATTGCTCGTCAGCAGGTAATCTTGAACCCCACATGAGCTTCCTATCCTCAAGTCTATCGCAGGGAATGATGCACATCCTGTTCCCTGTGGTCAAGGAGGACAGACGAGCGAGATCCTTCGTTCTCGAGGGACTGAGTGGATATGTTGCAGAGCATCTCGGTGCTTGACTGTATGGGCTTCTGGCTTGCTTGCTGACCTTGTCATTTACAGAGATCTTGTCGTATGACGGAAAGAATCCTGGAGAGATCTTCGCGAGAGACCAATCTTTTCTCCTCTTCTCCAAGAGGCTACTGAGTCCCCGTTCGGAGCAAGCATCCAACGCCGCGGCATCAGCTGTTGAAGATCACTTGTCCGCTGCAAACACACCTCAGAAACCGGACAGGGAAAGGCCCTGCGGCCATGCAAACTGCTCTTGCTCCGACCATGCCCAGACATCAGGCGCCTCCTCCGAAGCTGCTGGGGGCGAAACTCTGTCCTCCGCCTTCCAGTTTGTTCTTGATATGTCTCGCTCGATTACAAATCGACTTCGTCGACCCGGGGGAATGGCAGAGGCACTGAAAAACCTGTAAGTTGTCTGGATGCAAAAGAGATTTCAACAATGACACATTCACAGGAAATAAACTAGTTCTGAGGAGCTACAAAGAAACAAGTTGGAAAAGCTTTCTCGGTCAGTCTCGTTCAAGACGACAAGGTCGACAGACACGTCTTGCATGTAGCATTCCTTGTAATTCCAGATTAAGCCATCATTCATCCAAGAGCAGTTCTATTCCTTTATTACAACATGAGTTCATCTCGATGATGGTGCTGTAGCTGTTTCCACTAGCTTGTCACCCATCGTGTCCACCAGCAAATTGGCCCGCGGCCTCTGCATCGCAGCCGGTGCCGAGGTCAGCGGGACCTTCTTATCGATCAGCGCCTGCCATCTCAATCAGAGGCACGAGGTGAAGATATAAGCGTCAGCACACCAGGTCGATTGAATGTACTCCTCCTTGAAGGGGACGAGCCTGTTGTGACAATATCAGCGTTGAGAAACACTACCATCCCTCCACACCTTCGCCGCTACAAGATTAAGTGACGTTTGAGAACTCACACCCCCGTTGGACGATGGCTTTGCAACCATCTTATCGTCCAAGTCAAAGCTCCCAAACTCAGAACTATCCAACATCTTTCTTATTTTCTCAACCGTTTCCTGTTCTCAGGGAGCGAATCAGAACTTATGGCGATCAAACTCTCGAGGTCAGGCACCGGTGATTGTTTCAGGATAGAAAGCTGAAGCTGACGAATTGCGAGCATCTGGAGCGCTATGCTCGGTTGTGCTGGCTTGCTAAACCCATTGGCGCTTGCGGCTGCCACAAGCGCTAAGACTGGCAATAAAGTCTCACTCACAACTTGACAACGTAAGGGGGGTACCAATCAGCGCGAAGGCTACCAACCCTGATGCTAATATGACTCTCCCCTTTTTGTCCTCCCGCGACGATGGAGTTTGGCTCCCGTAGCTGTTGATCAATCTCAGCATACCATTTCGTTTGGAGTTGAGGATTCAACACAAGGGGAAGGGAAGAAATTATTGGACTTCGACAGCAGATCAACAAACATCATAGATTCAACGAAGGGAAGAGTTCAAAAACAGTGTGACATGTTCCTCCTCCGCCTCCTTCTCCTCTCATACTTCTTCTCGTCTGTCCCCTCCGCCAAAGCCATCGACCCGCCGGAATTAGCAATTCCATCAGTTAGAATCCGTTACACTTTACTTCAAAAAGCAGTCCTCGTACTGATTTTTAACTTAACTTTGAGTAAAGACTACTGATCACCACGGCCCGATCGGTTTCTCCGAAGGCCCGTCACGCATTTTAAAATTAAAAATACAACAACAACATTTTACACTTTTAAAAAATAAAATGACCTCATTCACCAATGCCGACAAGCAAGAAGACGGTGGATGGACACTGACTGGTGGGGGAGAAGAGCGACGAGATAGCGCGAGGAAGGGACACAGGCTGAGTAAGATGATAGGAACCAGCAGGGACGAGCTTGAAAGCAGCAACAGACAAATGTGCCGGGGGGTTCGTTGAAAGAATGATGCGAGTATTGAAGAAGGAGAAAGCTAATGTTGACATCAAGCAAGGGATGTGTTTAAGCAAACATGTAGGATGGATGCGAGAAGAGATGCTTGTATGTTGTGGAGGTTATTTGAATATTGAAAGAAGGTCACTGAGAGATACTGCAAAGGTTAGATACGGATAAACTGATTGCGGTTGAAAGATGGATAGCTTACTCGCGAATTGGCATGTTCCCTATCAAGAACAAGTTTAATTGATAGATAGATAGATATATCTCTTTTCCTAATGATATAGTCTGTGTGCTTGCACAGCAATGAGAAATGCTGCATTGACTTCAGTTGGATTAAATGTATAGCTGGTCGCCCTGAACGTTTTTGTTTAGTCGAAATCTCCTGATGGAGGGAGATACGGCAGACAAGAAGCAAGATCCGCTGCCCTCCGAAGGTGCCATGGCGATTTTAATGCGGAGAGACGAGGGAATAGCTTGTTCACGATGCCGAAAGCACAAGATCAAGTGCAGCAAGATGAAACCCTGCTGCACTTGCAGCAGGATGGGGCTTGAGGATCAGTGTGACGCCATCTTCGGGGTTTCAGCGTGTTGGCTGTGCAGGCGGTCGAAGATCAAGTGTGACAAGAAGCGACCGTGCGGGACTTGCATGAAGAAGGGCAGGTCTAAGGAATGCCTGTCTTCCGATCATGAGACGGGGCCTATGGAGGAGGATGCCGTCTCTGTAAAGCAGGAGGACGCCGGGACGGTGAGGCCTCGAATAGAGACTCCCAACCGCCCTTGGCCCTTGCGGCTTGAGATGGAGTTTGGGACAGTCCCTCCTCGGATGCTGGAGCCGGACGAGAAGGATGGGGGGTTGATCTCCCCGCTCATTGTGAGGACTTCGCAGCTTGGCTACGACCACACATCGATCCTGTACATGTTCAACACGATGGGAGAGGACCTCTCTAACTCGATCAAGAACCTGATGACAAGTCTTGCAAACTACAGGCCGAACATGTTCAATCAGAAGACTAGCCCCCCATCATCATTGCTGATGGCCAGGTCGGAAAGCTGTGACGTCGGGAACGCAGCTGAAAACTCGTGGACTGTGTACTGGAAGGCCAATGGCTTAATACGGGAGAGGATGAAGGTAGGGAGCGGACTCGGACACATGCTCAAGAGAAACCCTGAGGAGATTCTGGCACGGGCAGCTCGGTGTGAGCAGGAGATTCCTTCCTCAGACGTCGAGTTCATGTGCATGATCCTAGACGACCTGTTGACGCCAGCTGATCCGCAGCTTCTGCGATATCAGCGGATCTGCAGGAGGAGCACAGATGGGAGGCTAGAGGAGTCCAGCTTGATCAGGTCGAGTTCGACAAGGCGCTACGACGACAACGGGCGTCTTGTCTCTTCGACACACACGTTGGAGATCTTGGAGCCAGAGGAATGGGACAGGATTCATGCGAACTCTAAGGACTTGTAAGTAGTCTCTCTATGTTGATGTACTGGCAAGATTTTATGCTTGATAATGCCAGCTGAGATTCAAGGCTGCATGCTAGATGCCTGAATCGTCGTGTTGGCAGGAAGATGTACCTGCAGCTGCGCCGTTTCTTGGGGGAGGAGACGAGCGGAGAGCAGATGCTGCTCTCGCACCGGCGAGATATCGTGAGACACCTTGCATGGCCGAGGACTCGCAGTCCGTCTGACTGTTTTGGCAGCTGTTTGACGAGCACTTTGCGACGTTGAACCAGTCAGCGGAAGGGAGAAACAAGTTGCGCAAGATCGCTGATTTCCTAAACCACAAACTTGAGCTCATTTTGGGCCCATCCCAGCCCTCAGCCGCGAGCCAACGCCAGGGAAGCCGCTGCCCCTGATGAGGCCCCCGCAGAGGACTCAGAGGCTGCGGGGTCTTCGCGTGCGCACCGTACTGCCCGGCTCACTGAGTGCCCGGATGGCTCCTTCGAGATCGGATGGTTTCTCGGGAAGCATTGCTGAGCTATGAAGATGAAGCAAGTTGCCACGTTTGTCACGATGTGTTTAGATCAACTTATTGATGTTTATGCCGCCATGATGCAGGACGGTTCACGGTTTGCTGTGAGTAATATAGTTCACGTTTGTTGCACTGAGTCCGACTCTCAAGACCGAGTTCCGGGCCGAACTTCGGAAGTTGTCCGCCGCCGGGACCGTTGTGAAGGTGCCCCGGGCCCCGATACCCCCGCCGGGCCGGGCCCCCGGGGCCGACGCCGTGACGGTGACTCAGTCTGAGTCGGACAAGTTGGCTGGCCCGGGCCCGGCCGGCGGCGGGCGGCCCTCATCACGCCTGGGCTATTTCACTCATGTTAGTATTTCACTACCACTGCTTTCATGAAACCTATCGGGTCACTTTCGGGATCCGCAATGGCAGCAGCGCTGCGGAGAGTCGAGGCTCCGCCGTCTGCCGCTCTGATGGCACTAAGGTGAACGTCCTCGTCCTCGTCCTCCTCGTCCTCTTCCTTCTCCTCCTTCTCCTCCTTCTCATCCTTTTCATCCCTCACCTATTCCATAAATTCATCTCTGGCGTCATGGTTATCCCCACACATCAGCCTCCTGACGAGTGCTCACTCAGGTTGGACTCGAGCCATCGAGGATCACATCGACGACCTCTGATTGCAGGGATCAAGTTTACGCAGAGCGGAGAGAGGTTTGCGTCCTTGTGCCTTCTACCTAGTTTCTCACTGTTTGTTCGCCAGGTGTATCATGTACGACAGCACAGGAAAAGGTCCCTGCTGCTGTTGCTTGCGCACCTTGTAACATCCCCGAGCAGTGTTTCGTCTCAATGTTGAGAAGAACGAGTGGACATACCTCCTGCATGCCGGCCCGAAGATTAAGAGCGTGAGTTTGTCCCATGAGAAGATCCCCAAGGTTGCGATATGTACAGGCGAGCAGGTTCAGGTCTTCTGCAGGTACTTGGCGGCGCCGTGAGGTGGGAGGCAATCCCTGACGACCTTGCAGTGAGACGGGGGAGTGTCTGTCGATGTTCAAGATAGCGCACGGAGGAGAGGGGAGAGAGGTCCTGTTCCTCTCCAACCACATGGAGATTCTGGTCTTCAGCCAGTCCTCCCTCCACCTCTTGTCAATCAGGACCAGGGCCGCGACCCAGCGGACGTTCAAGGTGGGAGGACAGAGGCTGAGCAGTATCCTTGCTATCCATCTCTTCCGCCACCTTCTCCTCGTCTGCACGGCTGAGGGACTGTACGCTTACTCCCCGACCAACCTCGAGCTGCCCCTCGCCGCCTGCCAGGGAGAGTTTGCGCTGAGCAGCAGCTGTGTCTCGTCAGGATTCTTCGCAGGGTCCCCGAGAGGCTCGAGAGCCATCCAGGTCTGGAGGGTCAACGGGAGCGGGGAGGAGGGAGCAGCCATGGAGAGGCAGCCCAACGTCTACCTCCCAAGTCCTGTCGACAGCCTGCAGGGCATCCAGGGTTCAGCGAGGTGTCCTAGGAGCCATCCCTTGCATGACTCGATCGTCGTGTGGTCCGCTGACAGAGCGCTCCAGTTCGTCTCCCTCCCCACAGGAACGATGATCCTGGTGGTCGACCTGGCCTGCTCTTCCTTGACGTGCCTCGTTGCTCATTGGAGGACCTTCGCCGCCTTGGACAAGGAGGGAGCGGTCAGCTTCTTCGACCTCCCTGGGCTGAGGAGGATGTACTGCGCGGGAGCTGGGATGGGATCGAGGGATGACAGTGAGAGGAGGAGCCGGGAGGCTGCGCTGACAGGTCAGCACGGCCATGCCGCAGCGAAGCGACGGAGACATGGGGGAGGAGAAGATGAGGAGGAGCGAGGGGAGTGCAGTTGGTGTGCTATCAGTAACGACGGGGGCCAGCTGGAGGGGGGCGAGTGGAAGGCGAAGAGGAAGGAGCTACAAGGGGTATTGGCGAGGTGTAAAGAGTTCCCGTCGGAGAGGAGAAGGAAGGTTTGGAGCTTCCTGCTACAGCTTCCTGGGTCGAGGAGGCAGCAGCAGCTCCTACTCAAGCAGGACGCTGTCCGGATGGCCCAAATCACTTGGAAGGAGCAGGACAGCGAAGACCGAGACCTCTCTTCCCCCCTGTCCCAGCGAGCATGGAAGGTCTACAACGGCGTCTCGTGCTGGTGCAAGCTGTTCGCGTTCGTCCCCGAGGTCATCCTGCTGGTACGTTCCTTCTGCAGAATCTTCAAGGACGATGGTTTCGCTCTCGAGCTTGTGATCTTCTTCCTCCTCAACCGAGGAGGCGACTGGTTTCGCCAGTGGCCCCTCCTCCCCTCCTACGACCTCCAGTGCGTGCTGAGGCTCCTGGAGCGCTCGGACCCCTTCCTATGGACGAGGCTCAAGACGTATGGGGAGCAGGTGGCGACTCTGACTTGGAGGATGCTCTGCACCGCCTGCTGCGATCACATGACGAGCTCGCAGTGGGGGCTGGTGTTAGACCATGTCCTCTCCCGCAGACATTTCTTCCTCCACTGTCTGGTGGTGGCCGTGTACCAGGGCTTCCGCTCCCTCCTGTCAGCGACCGTTGACTTCCATCTAGTGGAGGGCATGCGGAGGTTCAAGGTCGGCAGCGTCGAGCAGCTGCTGGAGGACGCGATGAAGGTGGAGAGGCTGTGTGAGGGACTGGACGACGTCCTCTTGGATGAGCTGAAGGCGAGGGAGGAGGAGAGGGAGGAGGAGATACTCGGGTCTCACCTGTACCCTCCCTTCACCAACTTCTCTCAGTCTGCTGTCGACTACCGCGAGCAGCATGTAGGGTACCTGCAAGATGGGAAGGAAATCATGCGGAGGCTGCAGGAGAGGGAGGAGGAGGAGGAGAGGAGGCAGCGCAAGATGGTCCAGCAGATGTGCCGTGCGATGGAGACGAGCAGAGACGAGCATGAGAGGAGGATAAGACAGTACGAGGCGGCGATCGACGACCTGTCGTCAGACATCAAGAGGACCCAACGGCAGAGCTCGGAGCTGATGTGGAAGCGCCTGCACAACGCCAAGAGATCGGCTGAACTTTTGGATCGTCAGCGCCTGCAGCAGGAGAAAGCAAAGGAGCGGATGGATCAGATCGCGCGAGGGTGGGAGGACATTGCTGCCCTCGATCAGGAGGGGATGAAAAGGAGGGAGGGGCAGAGAGATCTGGAGCGAAAGACTGTGGAGGTCAACATGAAGCAGCAGGAGAGGCTAGAGGAGGAGCTGGCGAGGAGCGCGAGGATAGAGATTCATGTTGAGAGAGAAGCGAGGAGGCAAGTGAGAGAGCTGAAGAAGATCAACTTTGATAGCAGAAGTCACGTTGAGCATCTTCAAGATCGGAACACTGAGGAGAGCGCAAGGCGATCTGATATGTTCCAGCTCATGAACGCTGTCGCTGATGTCACCAGAGAGATGCAAAGGAGGAAGGAAGACGTCGACGATCTAGTTCATACAGAGAGCGAGGAGACTCTGAACCGTATGAGGCAAGTGTTCCGTCAGATCAAGGCATCCTACCACAAGGCCAGACAGCGAGACCTGCTACCGCACGAGGCGCCTCCTCGCCGCCTCCGACACGAAGAGTTCGCGTCTTCCCTTCCTCCAGATCGCCCAGGAGGCAGAAGACGAGACCGACGGCTTGTGGGGGAGGAGGCCGGCAAGTTCAAGTCAGACGGCAGGCAGGAGGAGGCGGCTGGAGGTGCTCGTGCATCGCAGCCTCATCAAGAGCAGGAGAAGGACTCGACATGTCCATCAAGATCGAGAGTCAACGGCGAGCAGGGAGCGGGAGCTTCTGCTCGGTTGGCAGCGTCACATGAAGAGCATGCTGGACGCCTCCTGGGCAAGAATCCTCCCGGTATGACTCTTGTGCTCCTTGTAGTCATGCTCTTGAATGTTTGGCAGCTAGAAGGCCAGATAGCGTCATGGAGGAAGAGGATGTGTACCACTCGCACCAGACTAGACGGCACTCGCATCGAGCAGGAGCAGGAGCAGGAGGTTTGCTCGATTGTTTCTCCTCCGGACCAGACAAGAGAGGATCTGACGAGTTGCCGGCAGGAGGGGCGAAGCAACAATCAGGACAGCAAGGGTACACCTCCTCTCCTCAGCTCTTATTCTTCGTTGTCCCGCCTCCTCTCCCTCAATTTTCAAGATCTCCACACTTTGTCCTTCATCCACCGCATGTCTTCCTGGCAGATAGTGTCTCTTTTTCCTCTCATCCTCTCCCTCCTTCCCTCCCTCCCTCCCTCCCTCCCTCCCTCCCTCCCTCCCTCCCTCCCTCGCATCCCCCTCCACTTGTCTCTCACGCTTCCAAGGTATTGGCAGATGCGCGCAGCTCTGGCAGGAGTCAACCTGAAGCTCGACTTCCCCGCGCGCGACATGGTCGACAGGTCATGTGAGTCCTCAGGCGAGAAGTTGCTAGAGGACTGGACGATGTCATCCAGCAAGACGCTGCTGACAAGTGGAGGTAAGGGAGGCTCAGTCACGTGCTCCTTGCTTCAGACTGATCACTTGCTGGAGATCTGCTGGAGGGCAGCTCGTTTGTTTCCTCCTCCATCGGTAGCGTGTTGCTCTACAGCTTCTCCTCTCACAAGCAGTCACAGGGCCCGTGGACTCTGAGGGAATGCGCTGCCGCGACGTGAGCATGGCATGACTGGCAGGACGATCGTTGTGACCTTCACTCCAGGAGCAGCAGGACTGCGGCATCGACGTGGTCAAGTTCGAGGACAGTCAGAGGAGCTTCTTGTAGCGCTAGTGACCCTCCTGGGTCTTCGCAAGACGCGGGGGGGGGGTGACAGGAAGAAAACAGGTGAGAGCTGATTTGGAGGTTATATTCCAGATTACACCGCGCTCCCTAGAGAGGAGGAAAGGCTCAAGAGCTATAAAAAGTACACAACTGACACACGACAACAGAGATCAAGCATGGCTTCAACCGGTAGAGGCACCGAGTATTGGCCAGGGCCAGGGCCATCAGATCGTGTCCTCGCGATGAAGCTTCACCGAGTTAAGGGAGGCCTTGATCAAGTCGTCGGCCGTACTCCCGATCTGCCTGTTCAGCTGCGTGCTCGAGTCAGCCGACTAAATCGGACCAGAGGAAGGGAAAGGGGAGCCTCCACTAGGACTGCTGAAGGGAAGGGGGGGGGCGGGGGAATGGGGGGATGTTGGACCAACCTTGGCAGTCTCTTTCGACTGGTTGAAGCTTTCTTTCCGAGGATCGTACAAGGAGGCATGAATACCTGGACATTCAACTCTCACTCTACTTCATTGCGAGAGTCTGATCGCTCTTACCGATGGGCTCAACCACATATTGGTTCGAGTGCTCCGAGGAGGCGGACGAGATCGTGTTGGTTCTTGAGGACAAGCGGTGCGCTACCTTGAAGCTTTCGTGCAGGCAGTTCTTGAGGCTCCTCATGTCTCTGTGAGCAGCATGGAAGTCATTCTTGGGACTGTCTTGGCTCACTTGGACGGCATTGTTGTCGAGACCTGTAGACGGGGTCAGGTACCATCGCACAGCTGAATTCGAAGACCTTTGCTCGACGTGGAGCTGCTCGAAGATGACTTAGTGTCCGACGAGGGCTTCTTGGAGGGTTTGGAGGACCTGCTCACTGACTCGGTGCGAGATAATCTCCTCTGGCTGCTACTGCTGTCCGCCGACTGGGATCTAAGGAACACCTGGCTCGACGGTGTCACCTACTCGGTCATGCAGTAGACACAATGACAATTATACCTCCAAGGATCGTTCTTTGTCTAAGAGGAGCTTCTCAAAGCGATCTGCGCGCTCTTTCTGCACTTCGACCTCCTTCTTGATGTCTCCATCACCACCCAGGTTGATCTTCAGTGCATCATTGATGAATCCGAAGAATTCGTCGATCACGTTGGGCATGGGATCCAAGGGCTCAGACAAGGAATAGCTTTGAACTTGAGAGATGGAGCAAGACCGTCCTGAAGGGGAGGGAGGAATGGGTGGAGAGAGGGAGGGAGGATGGGAGGGAGGGAGGGAGGGAGGGAGGGAGGGAGGGAGGGACAAAAATTGCACGAAGAGGGGACTTGGATCAGAGTTGAGGTTTCAGGTACCAAGCGCTTCTTCTCATTGAGGGGGTGGGGGTGATGGAATAATGATCATGGGTCAGCGCTAGGGGGTAGTTTTACCTGTTTGGACCCTACCCTGTCTTTCATGCAGGCCAATTACACTTAAATTGAGTACCCCCCCCCCTAGACCTCGCGCAACTTCTGTACTCAACCCACCACCCTACCTTCCCCACAAGCAGTCAAAGTTCAGCCACCCCTCCCAATACCCAAATATCACCCCACCCTTTGACCATTTTTTCAGTCACACCATTTCCTCTTTGTCTCTTGCCCGACTTGCGCGCCGCGCTCAACTCAACTTATGTACCCCCACCCCACCCCTTTGTCAACTTTCTTCGACCTTGTCAAGACCCCCCCATCAAAATGTCAACGAGGGGGTCCTATGGTGGATCTTGAGTCAGTGAGTCCTGCCGGTACCCGTACGGTCCGACGTGACGTGACATGTCCGGTCCCTGGCCCCTGGGGCCGACTCGGTTGAGTTCCCTATTGTGAGTACCGGTGGTAGATAGTGGGAATCTGCTAGGAAGTGGGGGTACTATCAACTTGAGGGGTGCCACCGCGGAGCCTCGGGAACGTACACCACAAAGGTACCCCCTCCTTTCATATGATTTTCACTAGCAAGAAGGGGGTACGAGGAAAGATATAAGTCAATTGTTACATTTTAAACTTTTCGCTGTCTTTGAAGAGTCTCTTCTCGCCGTATCTTCCCTCTCCTCATTGTCCTGGTACTGATTTTTAACTTAACTTTAACCAAAACTTGTCAAGCCTCCTCCACTTCATCGTCGTCTTTACTCAAAGTTAAGTTAAAAAGATCGTCATGGCGGCGCGCGGCAATCGCCGCCGGATACCGGCGCCGTTCGGCGGGGGGGCCGGGCCGGCCCGACAGCTGAGCGGCCCGGATGATCCCGGAGTCCGCATCATACTGATGATCGGCCGGTCCGACTCGGCGACGGTCCCCAGTCACTGAGTGCGCGCCCCCCCGGGATCACTGAGAATAGAACCGTGGGCCGGTCGGTCGCCTTTGGCACTGCAGTTGCCAGGATCGTACCGTACGGTACTGTATGATAATTATTTATCCATCAAAAATACCGTACATGACTGAGTGAGATCGGACTCGTGTGGCGAGGCCCTGAGGCTCAACGTCCCACCCGTCGGCGGCGGCGGGCCGGGGGGCCAGTAGCCTGTGAGCGTTCGGGTTGAAGTTCTGGGACCGTCTGGCGGGGAGGCACCAGCCTGCCGCAGTCCGTCGGCCGCTCACTGCTCGGCTGGCGGCGCTCAGTTCCGAAGCCTTCACAACTGCACATCGCGGAGCATGCTGGCATCAAGATGAGGAAGGTTGCTGTTACTGAAAGCACTCTTAGTCAGCCAGCTCAAATGAATGGCGTCAGTGCGAAAGAGATCGCTGAACAGGAACAAGAAACTTGAAAGAAGGAGAAAAGGAGAGAAGGAGAGAAGGAGAGAAGGAGAGAAGGAGGGAAGGAGAGAAGGAGAGAAGGAGAGAAGGAAAGAAAAGAGCACTGCCAACAAGCTTGCCACACCTGAATATTCCAGACCCGAATTCGAAGCCTTCAACCATAAAAATTTAGAAGGAACATTCAAGTCATCAAGCCGCTCACCAGCCATGGATCCTGCGCCCAAACGCGGAAAGATTCGACATTGCCAGGAGTAGAAGACTGAGAAATTGTATGCGGCGGACCTGGGTCATCGTAAGCAGAGTCTATCCCTCACCCGTGATCTTCACTCATTCGCACCCGACTCGGTTTGGAACAGGAGCGGAGCAGACGATCAGGTTGTAGTTCGGCTCGTCCAAGACCATGTGCAATCTTCTCATCGTTCTGTGCAGCCGACACGAGTCAGGTCCCAGCCCCACCTGGCAGCAGACCGAGACCTGTGCAAGATCGCAACGAAAGATTTCCTCTCTTCCTCGGACATAGCATGGAAGTACGCCTGATGCTGTGCGAGGCTCTGACCGACAAAAAGGAAGTCAATCAACCGACTGACCTTGAGGGGAAGGATCCACGTCTCGAACGGGCAGATCGCAGCGAAAGGCACGAACGCCATGAAGTGCTCGTTCCTTTCGATCACTCGCTCCCCAGCCTCCAGCTCTTCCTCAGCCCTGCACGGTGAAAGCAAGAGGAGACAAATCAGGCCGACAGTGCTGTCAAAGGCTGAGAGCTTACATCTGCACGAAGACAGACTTGCCATGCTTGGTGTAAAACTCCTCGCAAACCTTCATTTGAACTTCAACCTGCAGCGGGACGGTCGGCAGAGTACGGCGAGGAGGTTAGCAGAAGATCACCTGCCGGGGAATCACAGGTAGAGCAACGATCTGCGAGTGAGGATGCAGGAGAGAAGCCCCTGCCGTGCCTCCGTTGTTCTTGAACAGCATGACCTGCGAACCAAAACAGTCGGTGGAGAAGAGACGAAGAATCGGGAAAAGAAGAACTGCGATACATGCTTCACGAAGCGGTCTTTGTGCCTGTGACACGCATTGCAAGCAAGTTATCAGCAACAGTCACAATACAAGAACGCTCATTACAGATCTGCGCTGCGTTCCATCCACGCTCTCACCATGAAATCCAATGATTCACGATTCCCTGTTGCTATGATGTAGTTGTGCTGTGGGTTTTCGATGCACACTTCGTGATGCCCAACTGCCGGCATCTCATTGTTTGTTATTCTCCCGTCTGCAAAGATGTGATGATGGTTGTCTTTGGTCGCGTTGAGGCATGTGAGCGGAGTCACTGCTGGATATTTGTTCTGGATGACTCTGAGATCCCAGGCATTGGGATCGCGAAGAGATTTGTACTCTAAGATCGCCTTGGGCGTCATATGCTCGTTTCCCATGCAAAAAGGACAGGTGATCTCATAGGTTAGACAATCTTTCGCGTACTGCTTGGTAAGAAAGCTCACAGTCTGCTTTGGGCGATTGGCTCGAGCCATTGAATACACAACCCACTTGCGAAACAGAAGTAAGATGAGTAGAGAGCGCAGAAAGAATGTAACAAGAGGGAACAATAAGTACGAGTACGAGGACATCTCGTGAACACTTACATCTCCGGTCGCTGGGTTCTGCCGAAACATCTTGTCGGACAGCTGCTGAGTCTGGCTGGACGAGTCTTCGTCGGAGCAGAGGGACCTTGACGGGAAGGAGATTGCGTTCAAACATCTCCTGCTTCCTCTCGCACGAGCATTTCCGCGGCTTGACATCGCACATACTGCTCGATCTGCTGCTCTCCCGCACCATGATGGCTCTGCGCATCGCATCCGCCTTGCTAGCATTTTCCGCCCCTACAACAAAAGAACCCCACCCTCAGAGTTTTAATTCTGCCCCACCCCTACCCCCTCAAAAGTCCACCACTACCACCATCTCCAACGCAAGCACCCAGAGGTACACTATAGCTTTTCATTAGCTAGTTCAAGGCCCATTCTTCTCCTCTCCCTTGTATTGCTGCACGGCCTGGGATTCCACTCTCACCCCTACCCGTACGGTCACTACCCCAGCAACATGGCCGCCCCCATCACTTCAACTCGCCCCCCGACGCCATGCAGCAGGGGATGGAGCTGGCAGCGAGTACGGTGTGGGTGAGGGGGCAGCATCTGACGGGGAACGGCGTGATGCTCTCCAAGGTGACGTCATGGACGAGCGAGAGCAGAGAGCACATCGATAGCGACTGACGTGCTCGCAGAGCCGCATCATCACCTCACGGCAGATAGTCTTCACCTACCACGTGAGCACCGTCACTGCTTGCTTGCGTGCCATGGTCGATAGTTGTGATAGTAGTGATAGCGATGACAGTTGTGATAGTGATGATAGTTGTGATAGTTGTGATAGTTGTGATAGTTGTGATAGTTGTGATAGTGGTGGTGATGATTATTGGGTTGCAGGAGGCAACCTTGTCGGAGGTTGACTACTTGGACCAAGAAGAAGGCGTCGTGTTCACAACTGCCTGCGATCCATCCAGCTGCTTTCTTTCCAATCAGAGGCTGGACATGACTATAGTACGTGATTCTTTGTATCAAGTTCACTATTTGTCACTCAATCTGATATGTTACTCCCTTCGACAACAGGTTGGGGTGGATCCAGAGTTTTGTAACAGGTCAGCATGCATGTAATTGGGAGGAGTAATCTCTAACTTGGCCGGAAGATGCAAGCTGCAGCCTGTGACAGTGCACGATGGGCGATTAGCGCGGGGGAATGAAGTTGTAATGGTGAGCAAGTTGGGGGGTGCGATAGAAGAGGAGACCACCATCGCAACAAGGTGCTGGTCCTGCATGTTTGGCGCGAGGATGATTGTTCCTGCATTGCTGTAGGTTGGTGGTGGAGGAGGTGGGCGAGAGCGAAGTGTTCCTTTCTCCAGTCGATGACCTGACAAGTGGAGTGCTTGGAAGTCCGATCTTCAAGGTTGAAAAGCGCATGCGTCACTGTTGCTTGATTGAGCATTTTTGACAGGACAAGAGCCTCGTTGCCATTGTAGTCAAGCTAAAGCAGGAAGAGGGCGGATTGAGGGCGCTGATGATTGAAACTGTCTTGGACAAGCTAAAGAAAGTTCGGAGCATGCTGCTTGATGATGCGGTCTTTATGAGTGACTCCTGCACAGAGACAACAGCTGGAGCATGCTCTTGGGGCAGATGGTAATTCTTCCTCGAATGGGATAGTCGAGCAAAGGGTGAGAACGAAGAAAATCTCCAAGCTAAAAAGGTGATGGAAGTTGGGATTAACGTGTTCTTTGATGCAGTTGGAGGGATCACACTGAAATGTTTCTTGTCCCAGGATGTTGGGAAAGGCTCAGTCAGAGGCGAACTTCGTAGGAATTGCTGCAGCAGGCGCCGTAGCTCTGACTGTTGTCTCTCTTGTTGTCGTTTTTCTCCGTTGGCGAAGATAAAAAGATCGGGCCGAACAGGCTAGTCACGAGTCGAATGAAAGCGGCCCGCCGCCGCGCCGACCGGGCCCGGCCTGTGCGCGGCAGACTGCCGGGGGCCGGCCTGATCCCCTGCCTGCCTTCGGAGCCCCGCCGGGCGCCGCCCGCCTGCCAGTGGGCGCCGGCGGCCCGGCCGGGCCGGGTGCCTGCCGGGCGCCTGAGCGGAGTTGTGGGGGGACGAGGTTTTCACATCTCGGCATGGCCGAGAGAAGGGACTGAAGACAAACAGGAACAGAGGCGAGAGGAGCGGAAGGAGGAGGAAGAGGAGAAGGAGAAGGAGGGAGAGGAGAAGGAAGCAGGAGAGGCAGAGTACAAGCTTCGGTCCTCTCATAGCGGGATCGATACACCCAGAGGGCGTGAAGGGTATGGGAGGTTGTAGCGAGATGAAACAGTGTAGTCCTTGTTGCTGAGGAGGGGGAAAGATCTTTGGAGGATAGGTGACTGTCTGGCAGCGAGAAAGAAGCAGAGGTGTCTTGACCATGGAGATCAGCTAAGGGGGCCACCTCAAGCTGAGGCAAGTCCGAGAGGCCAACCAAGGAGGGGAGTATAAGGGAGTAGAGCATCGAAATTAAGAGCACGGGGATGGTGTGTAGCGCCGACGAATCGGAGAGAGCCGAGCAGGACGAGCTGAGCAAAGATGTCCTCTTGATAGTGTTCAAACGGCTTCCTCTCGATGTCTTGCGCCATGTTCTCCTCGTTTGCCGACACTGGAGGGTTTCAGCCCTTGACCCGAGCCTTCCTGCATGGCGTGAGTGATGGGGCTTGATGGAGGAAGCAATCATCTAACATCATTGTCTTCACGCAGACACGTTGTCTCCTGAGACTTTCTGCATGCTCGTCCCTGAACACCATAACCATGCCATCCACAATGTCGAGCGAGCACGGCATAGTCACCTTGCGAGCAGGCCTCCTTGTGCAAAGAGCAGGTCAGAGAGGTGCACTATCAAACGGGAGGAACTGCTGGAGGCTTGCAGAAGATGTACAGAGCTGAGGGAGGCTGATCTGCGTACCGTGAGCCACCTCGACAACGAAGCCTTGATGCATGTCGCGAAGCACTGCTCTAGGCTGTCGCGTTTGAGGATACATGACGTGATGAGTTTGGGCAGCAAGATCACCAGCGTCGGCTTGATTCACCTCACCAGGATCTGCTCCAACCTGACTTTTCTAGACATCTCATACACAGTCTGCTCTGACAAGGCTCTCGAGTATATCGGCAACCTCCCTGAACTGCGATCGTTGCATATGCAGGTAGTTTCATCATGTCAAGTGGCAGGAAGGGCAGAGGAGAAGAGGGCGAGAGCGAGGATGTGATGGTGCAAGTGATGACTGCTAGCTGATGGCTCCTCAGGGCTGCTCGAGAATCAAAGGACAATCTCTGCCGTATCTCCTGTCCCAGTGCACCAAGTTGGAGGAGATCAACCTGTACAGAACGAGCGTCACCGCCTCCATTGCAGCAAAGCATCTGTCGAAAGCCATGAGGACGCGGCCTCTGCGGGTGAATATGCTGAATCCAGACGGTTGTCTTGAGATGTTCTTCCTCGTACTCCTCTGAGTCTGATGGTTTCCAGACCTTCCCAGTGCTGTGGATCTTTGGTCCTGCTGACTCTCTGCCGATTGTTCGTTGTGATGTGAGCTATCAGGTGTGGGATGTGCAGCAAGAGGTTGTACTCTCGCTTGCAGTCCTACGTGAGCAGCCGGCGCTTCATTGCGATCACGAGATGATGGGTTGAATGGCAGGTGACGATGCAAGACCCGACCAGCAAGGCCCTTTTTCATGTCTGTACCAACATCTCACCTGAGGTGAATGGGAGAGGTTGTTGATGATGGTGGGAGTAACAGCTTCTAGTGGATGAATGTTGTCATCTGCGGATTGGTTCCAATCAGGTGGTTTGTTGCTCTTGCCCTTGTCGGACGCTCGCTGATGCACGTTGAATCTAGATACAGTTGCATCAATCGCTGTCATGCTGCCTGTGGAGGTTTGATGATGTAAGCCTATCCCATCCCCCTCCTCTCTCACACCTCAGCTCGATCCTTTATCTTCCTCTCTCACCAACTCTCGCCTTCCCCTTGCTTCTCATCACACCTTCACTCTCAATTTCATGCCCTTTCCCCTGATCGTCACCATGCCCGGCAGCCACGGAGGAGGTGGCGGCAGCCACGGACAAGAGGACGAAGGCAGCTGCAGGTCGTCGTTTCGCTTCACTGTTGTGTGCGGACGACCACCACTCGGAGAGGTTCGTAAGATCTGAAGGTGAAGAGAGACTAAGGAGCAGGTGCAGGGACATCCATTTGCCATGATGACGAGCACAGTGAAGAGAGCGTAAGATAGGCAGTGCGTGACAACCTAGAATTTCTTTTCTTTTATTCAGTCGCAAGTGTAACGTTGCTCCTCACAAAACTCAATATCAACAAAATTCCCCATACATCACGAAGGGACTGGGCAAGAGGCACACCACAACAGAGGCTACATAAAGTGTTAAGAACAGACAAAAAACCAGCGAGCAGACAGGTGTCCACAACAAGTCTAAGACCGAAAAACTGCTGATGAGATTAACACGATGATCCGACGAGAATGATGAAGGAAAAATGGACAACATCTCTGCGCTCGTTCTGCCATAAGAATGTGCACGAAGAAAATTTCCAGTGAGCAGGTGCACACACAATCATCCCCTAAAGCGTGGCAATTCAAGACTGAGCCGAGGGGACGAATTGTGACTTGACCCTCTCGCTCAGTCCCTTGATCTCAGGATCGAATTCAAAGTTCTTTAGATCCTCCGTGAATGTCAGACTCCCTGCTCAACCAGTCAGTCTACTCCGCCCATACTGACAGAAACAGGAGAACATGCCTTGTTGGTCTGGCGAATACCCATATTTTACAATGACCGAAGACAAAATTTCCGTGGCTTTAGGGATGGCCATCATGAAGAACTTCGCGATGTCAGTCCCGCCTGCATCGATCTTGTAAACAGAAGTAGGGAACTCAGACTTGAATGCTCACATTCTCCCCGTATTCTCGCGAGCTCGGCAGCGCACTTGGGATCTTCGAAGGCGCCGACCGACTCTCTAGCTGCCACTGTGCACAGGAGTCAGCACGGTGTCAACATAATCAGCAAGCAATGTTGCTTACTTCTTGCTGTTTCGACGTTGTCAATCCCCATGATGTTGTAATGATCTTTTGTACTAACGAATGCCACCAGGCGCGAGCAAAAAAAGAGTAGACCGCTTGCTTTTCACAAATTTAAAGATGGAGCCCCTGCTCCTTTCACCTAGACATTCAAGATTAGCGGTTATGACACCAAAAATAAAATAATTGCATGATAAGGCGCGAGGGAAAGAAGAGTTCATCATCAGACTAAGCAAGTTTTCTATGAACTATCACCATAGCAGGTTCTCATATCTCACCCCAGGCACAATGTTCATCAACCTTGCTACGAACAAAATAGTATTGCGATAACCATTGCCGAAGTAATGCTTGCATTATGGCAAGGGACTGCTTCACCTCAGATCTTTGCTGTCTACACTCATTGAATGTATCTGAACCCAGAGCGCGACAGGCATCAAGCAAGCAGTCGATTCTTCTGCTAGCTTCATCACAATCTCAATACATGTGCATCCTCTTATCTCTCCAACGTCAGGGTGCCCACGGTCAATAACTCTCACTTCACATCACTGCCATCTTCTGACGAATCCTCCATATTCCATCGTCACGATCACGCACTCCGCCCCTTCCACAGGATAACCAACTTGAGGTTATGGCTAGCACCTACCTTGACCCCCACCCCCTTGTGTTTGCGAAGTCTCCATTTGTCATGACATACATGAAATACACTAATACTCTAATCGAAATATATCGGACCTTAGTGCACATGGTTTGAAATTCTTGACCCCTACCACATCCGACCCACGAGTGAGATAACCCAAGGTTGCTGAATAACCAATATTGGCTTATTAGCAGATATCCCTACAGACAAGGCGCGGGGACTGGCAAATGAGTGGGTGGTAGAACAATGATGGGGGGTACTCATGTAGGATGGTCTGTAGGATATTGCTTTCTGTCGTATATCGTATATGAAGTTGGTCCTAGGGGGTATGCACCATGTGTGAACAAGGGGGTACTCTAAGGAAAAGATTCAAAAGTGACGGTAGGGTAGTCATGTTGGTCCTGAGTCCTAGACCTCGGTTAGGAAGTAGTTCCTACCACATTTGGCTAGGGGGTGGGGTGCAAAAGTACCGGCTGCTTTCCCTTGTTTGCCATGGTCTTCGTAGGGTGGGTAGTCATGGAAGATTCTCTTGGGGAATAGAAATTCGAAAACAAAAATAGAGATTTAAATAAAGGGTCGAAAGAATTCTCTAGATTGCATAACCGTCAGTGTAACGATGTTCTAGATCTCAGCTACCTACGAGAGGGGGGCAAAAAGGGTCAGCAACAGAGCATTCTAGAAGAAACGGGTATGGGGGTCGCACCTGCTGACAAGGATGGCAGGATACCGAATGCGAGCTTTTAAGATTTTTCACCGGATAGCAGCCGGCCTGATTGCTCATTGGGGCTCATAACCTTCGATCCTTTTTGCTCCTGGAGGTGGTAGTCCGGTGCCGGGCCGTTCAGTACAAACCGGCCCGGGTGATTCCGGATGCCGGGCCCGCTGCCTCAGTGCAGGTGATGGGTTCTCAAGAGACCCGTCTGCTGGGGGCATGCATGGCGGAGGAGGAGGGTGAGATGGAGGCTGGAAGAGTGAGAGGAGGAGGAGGAGGAGGAGGAGGAGGAGGAAAGGCTTCAAGCTGGCTGATGTTCGTGAGCAAATCGCTGCTCGAGCAGGGAAAATCGGTCCTGCCCGTATGCCTGTTCCTCATGGGATTCCAGGTCATTGTGTTGGGGCAGGAGGTGAAGCAATACAAGGAGCTGCTCCTTGGTCTCTTGCTCGCTGTGGTGGGCCTTGCTCTCTTCACCTTCGGGCTTCTCAACGGCCTCATGCCTATGGGGGAGAGGATCGGGCTTCGCCTGCCCTCTATCCTCCCACTCTCCTCTGTGCTCTTCATCGCGGCAATCTTGGGAGTTGCCGTCACTCTCGCAGAACCAGCCCTGGGTGTCGTCAAGACGGCAGGATCATTAATCCAGCCTCAACATGCTCCGAACTTGCATGCTCTCCTGCACTCGAGGCAGGACCTCCTCGTCCTTGCCGTGGCTGCAGGGGTAGGACTCTCGTCCTCTCTTGGGATGCTGCGGATCCGGAGGAGCTGGAGCCTCAAGTGGATTGTGATCGTGCTGGTCTTGCTCACCATCTCTCTGTCCATGTACGTTTACTATCGCACGAGCAAGCATGACGTCATCGGCCTGGCATGGGACTTGGGCGCCGTCACAACAGGGCCAGTCACGGTAATGCAGGGAGAGGATGGGGGGGGGGGGGGGGGGGAAAGAAACCTCAATGAACATTACATCTCATAATTACTGGCTAAACCTTATCTTACCATGGAGGGGAGGGTACTGGAAGCCGGGGGGAGGGGGGTCCCCG